CATGTTCAAACATGTCGAAAAAAACAGGGTTTTTTTCGACTGGCATTTCCTTATACAATGTAAATAAAAGAAATTAGTGTAGATTAATGATTTTTGGCGAATATGCAAGGCACAAGAATTAGAAAATTCGACAATTTTCTCATAGAAAGTTGTTTATTCAAGCAAATAGAGGATATGTAGCATAAGTTAAGTTTCATTGGAAAACGAAAGCGAGTCTGCGCCTCGCCCTCTTCATGATGGCCGGCTTTGCGGGCAATCAACTGGAGGTGGTACGGTGAGACGCCAACATGTATAGAACTCGATATCTCATCAGTCGCTGTAGAGCTTCACTCAGAATTTAACGGAATGTTTAATAGAAACTCAAGGTGGATTTGTTGGGGAGGAGCGTTCATTACAACCCAAACGCTCCTTCACTTTGAAATAATGTTTTTTTTGTCACGTAGGTACAGCGAATACCCAGGCTGAAACCACTGCAATACCGGGAGTCATCGAAAAGCTGGGTGGTGCAGAAAATAACACCGCCTATATTGTCGTCATAGTGGTCCTTGCCGTCTCGGCGATCGCCGGCTTCGTCGTGATGATACTCTACTATCGCCGCGAAATTCGTGATTTGACGAGGTAAAACCTTCATTGTGGGTCACTTTGTAATAAATTCAAATAATATATGTCTTTGGAGTGGGCCAATGCATGGCTATAACAAAATTGTGTCGCAACTGACATGAACAACAAAACAGAATCGTCAAGCCGTATGGAAGTCCCCCCCCCCCCCCACCCTCGTATGCTTGAGCGTACAATCACACATATCACACGTGGCGGGGGTTTCTTAGATTACAATCTTTAAATACATGTAACCATTTTTAATTCTTATTTGTGCTGTGTTTATATTTTATTCTCGACAGAGCGTACAATACGAGAGCGCACGCTGACGCCAAAGGAGAAACGGATCGACTAGACGTTGACGTTTAGAACATTTCCTTTTGTCGAGAACAGGGGAACTGAATAGATGAAGGTTTATTGTTTTTGCGTGCAATTTTTGAGTTTATCCCAATTGCTGTTCATAGCAATACAAAGTTAGTCACTTTGAAACGAGATACCGAATGTTTAGTCGTGGAGTGGTTTAGCCAATTTCGATTTACTTATGGTCCGACCATTATTGGTGCATCTGGAAGCAGACGTTGATATTAGAGGTAGACTACTCTAAAAAAAAAATTAAAAAAAAAAAAAAAAAAAAAAGGGGGGGGGTAGAACTTCATCTTTGCCATCGTGTTTCATTGGAGACGCTCACCCTAACACTGGTGCCGACACGGGAACCCACAGGTCTGCAGTTGCTCAAAATAATGAAAGAATTATTATTGGTAGAAGAAAAAAATCGTTGAAGAGCACGTGGATACATTTTAAGGGTCGGTTCAGAATGGTACAAGTTTATCTGAAACAGTTCAGGGTTGTACCAACCAGATTCATCAAGCTTGGTGACGTTTAGGTAAATATGGTGTTCCATGAACCCGTATCAAAAAGATTCTCACAACATCCTACTAGAATGTTGGAGTTCTAGTAATATATTCAAAAATGATATATATTTATACAAACACTGAAAAGCTCAAACGGATATTGTTATATAATGTTTTGTAATGACACGAACTGTTATTTTGTTATTTACCATGAAACGTTACAGGTGTTAAATTGATAGCTTTATTCAAATTAAGCAATTCATAGCATTTGATAAAATCAAGCATTTATAGATTTGATGTTCTCGACTCCAGAATTTGTATGTCGAGCGATATATTGCTTAATATTGACACAGAAAAAAATGACGTTTGGATTCCTTGACGCAGAATATGTTTATCTCCCAAAATGGCTTATTTAATTTCATGTGAGACTATTCGTAGACATATTTGAATTCGTGTGTGCTCTGATTTTTTTCTAACATACACTTTATATTAAAGTGCAACAAGCGTTTACATTATTTCCCGCAGAAGTCATGTCCAAAATCAGTGTTTCCGCTCTAAACAAAAGTGTAGATATACAAAATGAACTATCAAAACTGTCTTCTGTTGGACTTATAGTCGGACATCAAAAACTATTTGTACATTTCGTATGACGGTGTTTATGTTCATGTTAAAGACTTCATTGACTCCTGCGGAAATATGCATAAGAAAAACACTACCGTTATGCTGCACTGGTACACATTATTGCGTGGGAGACCAAAGTAAGATAATGTATAATTCTAAATATCTTAACACTTGATAAATGTGATGTAAATTTCTTTTATCACTTGAAGCAAACATTTATTTTTGGGGGGCGAGAGAAATATAAGACTGTTTTTGGAGTGGCGAAGGGAGGGCTGCATTCACACCCTTTTTCCAACCGGGCTGGTGATTGTATTGGCAGTATTACTTGAAGACAAAATACGAGATTCATGATCAAGATGATATTTATTGGATATGATGGTTGTCTTTTGTACGCAAATGACGGGCGCTTGTGTGTGCGAGTGTAGCATAAGGTGAAGGTAATACCCTGTGGGTACATTTTATATTTTGTTGACATACTGAGTCGAGCAACAGTGTAAATTCTATCACAATAGATATTTATTATAGGAAAATATTGTAGGGCAAATAGTAACATAACTAAGCAATGACGATATCTTACCTCGGGAGGTTTAAAACTAGAGTAGTTTACTAGTGTTTTAAACTGCATTAGCGGTATTAGCGTCTCATGTAACTGCTCTGAGTTGATAATCCGATTTCCGAGTGTTTTGCTCGATGTTTTTTTTTTTTTTGGATGTTAGTGCAGTATTAAAGTTATATGATTTGAGTGCTTATATAGTAGTTTATAGTTGATAGTTCAATTCTCAGTAATCTGATATTTCCTCTTTTGTGTCGCTATGTACAGGTATAAAAAGAAGATAAATTTGATCATAATGTATTATACACAGGTAGTAAGATATAAATCATTGGTCAAATTATTTAACAGCTAGTTTGATAGTTTATCAAATTACTTGTGGTCAGTAGCATAATTTGCATTTTTTTTAATACGGTGTATAAAATTGGTCGAATAAAGATATATCAACTGACCTTAGATTTTTTGTCACACAGTTTAGCCTTCGGATAGTTATTTGCTGTGTAAAATACCTATCAAAATCCTCAACCTGCCTGGGTCACTGCTCCCAATGCATTTTCCCGGCCCCTCGATGACTCAATTTACAAAAATTGGTTTGTCCAGGGATTGTCAGGTTTTAAGTTTCCTTTATCGCGCGCACACCAGGAACTAGTCCAAGCATTCGATACAAAATAAAAACATGTCTAGTTGAGAATGACTTACAAGAAAATCAACTGGATGTCTTTCTATTTTCTTTTGTTATGAAATCTAGAGTTATTGAACTAAGTAGGCCTAAGCCGTTTCAAACTAACGACTTTTTTTTTTATTTGGTCAATATTTTGCAATTATATATACGCAATGTGAAGTGCCTTTTTTTTTACAGAACCAACTAATATCTTGGTTTTGCAAACTGAGCAAGAAGTAGTGAGGAAACGATTTTTCAACGCAGCTCACGGCAAACACAATTCTGCAAAGTCTGTTTCTTTGGGATTGTTTGTTCATTGTTTGATATAATATTGCTTGCCAGAGCTAGAGAGGGTCAGTCTTCTTTGGGTTGCAGACCAGTAAATAAACTGCCATAGACCCCGGAAAAATACAACTCTCCAAAGTGTTTGAGACACACATCAAATCCAAGCTTAGTTCATCATCTTTCATTTTCTGTTCAATTTTTGGGGGTAATCCAATGGCCTATGAGTGAAATTTCCATCCAAAGATGATCACCCCTAAAATAAGGCCTGAATTATTAGCCCATCGCAAAACGAAGCAATTTTAGGGCCCAATTTCATCCAAATTTCACAGAAATACGAGTTCGCTGTCCTGTTCACGGCTTCCACCCTTCTGTTTACAAACCCTGAAGTTCATGGCCCTCAAAATGTTCTAAAGCGAAAGCATTGAGGGCATGTGCGATTTGGACAGTGTAGGCAATTTCGGGCCTATTTTCTGGCATCCTCTGTTTCCTTGTTTGTGGCGTCGTCGTCAATGTAATATAATTATAGTCGCAGTCGTGTTCATTTCCTGAACAACTTTCCCCAGGCCCTGGATGAAGTAATGTCATAACTATGTATGCGCTTTGCATTGTTGAGAATTAAGGGTCAACCCCATCTTCGTATAATCTTGAGCCATTGTCTTTAAATTTCCATTTGACATTAATGTTTATAAGCTTTATAGAGATGAAACTTTTTCAAGGACACTCGGTCGAATGTTTCCTGCGTATTTTGATCTTGAGGGGGAAAATACTCAATTTCCTCGATTTATATCCTAATATACGCCATAAAACGAGGGATTAGTGTTCTCGTTTGTTCCTAACGTTTTTTGTATAGTTCCTGGTTTATCAGTTTCAAACATTTAATCCTTGGAGGCCAGTAGCAAACGAAAGAATGCCGAATTATTTTTATTACTTCAAGGTTTTTCAATCGTAGATGGATATGTGGGTATGTCGAAATCTCGTTTCACTTTCGATTTTCCTCTGATTATAAAATTTCTCAAAATATTTCCTTGTCAACAACTCCGAGTTTTCCAAAAACCTCGAAAGAATGTCTCGAAAGGCTGGTTACACTGTATTGAGAACCGCATACAAAATACCCCAACATGACATAAATGTGAGAGTGCTGGAGGTATACAATCAGGAACAAAATCCACACATCAATGCCAACAACGCGCTGCTGAGCTTGTATTCACTGGTCGGCCATATTAAAATGTAAAAGAGGGTAAAATCTTAATTTTTGGAAATTAAATTTAACAACTTGCCGCTACATCTTGCGCTGATGAAATTGTCTGACGGGGAATACCCGTCTATATCCAAGACGTATTTCGTAACAGCAAACAGGGATTTTCCCTGGCCCCGTATCTTATCAGTATATGCCTTGCCGTATAAATGACTAGCACAGAATACCAGGTGATCAGAATTCCGCTGAATGCGTCAGCTATCGCACCACACCGTGTACTGCACTGCACTACACTACATGAGTGATACAGAGCATCCTTCCAATAAGGTAGGCACACAATACTTGGTGGTGCATGAAATATTATTTGATATGGATCATAATTCGTAGTAGACGCTAAGGCGAAGTCAACGTTATGTTATCGCAAATAAGCACTGTGCGTACATGTACTATGTACTTTGGGCAGACACGATCATTGGTCTTATACAGGGAAGAGTTCAACCCGAGGTGTGTGTATAAAATGGCCATTTGTATGCACAGTTTGTTCTGCGATATGAGCGCATGCATCGTGAAGGATTTCACTGATTGCTCTTATTTCAGTGGATTTCATTGCCAAAAAGGTCGTTTTATGATAAATTGACACCTGCACATTAATGTTGATGTTTTTTTAAAGACAATTTAGCATTATTTGTTGGTGTAACGGCTCTGAATGGATGTTTGAAAATGACAAAATATGCATTACAAACATCATAGAAATGTCCACTTTTTTTAAATGGCACCACAACGCGACTTAATATTAAATAGAAAGACTAATTTACATTCTTCCAAAATCAGTTCGTCTGTAAACAATAACCTGTTTACCTGGGTCAGGGCACATTGATTTTGTTCAACATATCTAAGAAAAATATCGAACTTCAGATGATTCTGCCGCTATGACTGCTGGAAATGTTCCTGCCGATTGCTCAAAGCTTCAATCCCCGATGTACATGTAAACCCACGTAGTATACGCGTGCAAGTTTGAAATGTTTATCGGCTTTCTCTTCCTAATTATCTACAATTCTTGAAGCTTTTGGGGATAATCTTATTAAAATCACCTTATTTATACAGATTTCTATTTTATTTTTTCTTGATATCCTGTAGTATTGTAACCCTATAGTTTCGCAATATTTGTAACTGGTCTTATTTTTCTGTCATTGAAATGAATCTAGTCGAATAATCATATATAGAATGTTATACCTGGAAGAAATTAAACACATTTAAAGTTGAAGAATTCGTCATCACTATTTTCTCCCAGGTGTGCATAGTATTGCGTCACCCAAAATGCTGTAGTCGATATCGCAACATCTCTGAAGGGAAAATCCCCCGTTATTTCATAATGAGATGAATGACTCACTTTGCCCAACAAAAACATCAGATTTCACCATCAAAACGGCCTCTAAATTACTAAATACGCCACCTGCGGTACAAGTAGACATCGATAATTAAGATGGCTGTACTGAAGTTTACTTACGATCCGGATGAAAAGTGAAAATTTCCCGTTCAATTCCGAGAGCTCCCCTTGCGATCGTGGACACGTTAAATTTCAGACTCGTGTTCATGTTTGAACGACGCGATTTGGTCTTCATGCCCAGCGTACATTAGATGGTTCCCGTATCCCGAGTGCGATTCCGTTACCGAGCGCGCGTGATGCATCGATATGTACATGTAAACCCACGTAGTACACGCGTGCAAGTTGGACATGTATATCGGCTTTCTCTTCCTAATTTTCTACAATTCTTGAAGCTTTGGGGGATAATCTTAAAATCACCTTATTTATACAGATTTCTATTTTACTTTTTCTTGATATCCTGTAGTATTGTAACCCTATAGTTTCGCAATATTTGTAATTGGTCTTATTTTTCTTTCATTGAAACGAATCTAGTCGAATAATCATATAGAGTGTTATACCTGAAAGAAAATAAACACATTTAAAGAAGACTTCGTCATCACTGTTTTCCCCCTGGTGCGCATAGTATTGCGTCACCCAAAATGCTGTAGTCAATATCGCAACATCTCTACAGGAAAAATCCCCAGATATTTCATAATAGATGCATGACTAACTTTTGGACTTTTGGCGGCTTTTTATAGCTTAAACAAATATTTGAACAAGACATGGATTTAAATCAAAAGGGGGGCTACCCGTGTGTAGTGCCAAACAGTAGTTTAAATTCGTGCCGGTGAATTGGGGGGATGACCAAAAAAATAAATGCACGGTCGTGCATGGATATTCAAAAAGCGGGGGGGGGGGGGGGGGGGGAGGGGGGTTGCTGAACACCACATTACACTAGGGGGCGTTCTTCATATAGATGTATATCAATGTAGGCCTATACATCAAAACGGTGCATTTTCAAAGCTTCTGTACTTTGTTTCTCCACTTTTCAGTGCTATTAAGTACATTTTGGTTGCAAGGTTCGGATGTTCTAATAATACCTCAACATCTGCGATTTTTTTTTCTCATAACGAACAAGTGGGGGATGATTCTAATGCACATCCCCCGGTCTAAAAGTGGGGGATATAATAACACCCCCCCCCCCCCGGAGGATTTACGCCTCTGGTACCAAAATCAACTTCCCGATGGATATACTTTCACTCCTCGGAAAAGTATTGCATTATCAATCTTTATTTTGGTCATGTATCCGGGTTCATGAACCGTGATAAACAAAACGGAATGCCATAAGGTCATATAAGGTCATAGTGTTCGACAGCTATGTCTGCACATAATACTGCCGCTCCTCACGTGTACATGAGTTGGGAAGTCTGTTGTATGTAACTCTGTGCATGTGATGTACGTGTGCCACTATGTACAAGGAATAAATGCTAATTGCTATTTCGGCTTAATTGGGCCCAAGAGACTTTGGCTGAGTCTGATTATGTATGCCTCATATTTCCTTCCTCCTCCTTAACCATTTGGCTGCAGGTAGGTGTTTAGCACGGCAGTATGATGTTTTCTCATGTAATTTGTAAAACTAATTACAGCATTCTGTTCCCTGGAGGGCACGGGGCTTGTGTTAAATTATTGATGGTTTAATGTTGATGTTATTGTATTTGATATTCAAATTAAACATTATTGTTTAATCAATTTGCAGTTCCGGGTTTAATTCATTCGTTTTCCAAGCCTATTGTGCAATCCTTCCCTTCGTCTTTTCCTGCAATCCTGTTGACCCTGTCCTACCTTTCCATGACCCCCCCCCCTCCCCCTTACCCCAACCCACCCACATGAAAATTCCCCACCATGCCTCTCGAAACACCAACAGCTGTTTCTCTAAGCACACCCGTCTCAGTATAGCTGATCCTGCACATCCACTGACTGCTTTACATCTCACAGTTTTTTTTTCCTCTCTGATGATTTTTAAAATCTCACAGTTTTTTTTCTCTCTGATGATTTGCTTTGATGGACACAGGTTAACCACAAGATAATGGACGCCTCCTCCTTCTTGATGGCTCTGCTCCTCTGCGTGCTCCTACAGGAGACCGCCCTTGGTATGAAAAAAACTAAAAGAACTTCCCAAAATCTTCATCTTGATTTTGTTTTTAACAATCGTGCTGTTTAGATTAATCGAGTAGGCCCTACATAGTCTTGGCACACTAAAAAATGAGATGTGTTATATGGAAAATAATTTATCTCCGTTCTGTGTGGAAGAGTCCTAACTTTTATTATTCCAGAATGAAATTCTCAATGCAAGACTGTTTAATAATGGGAAAAATTAGTCAAGCTAGTCTCAGATCACAAGAAATTCTCGATTCAAAATGGATATTTACTGGAAGTCTTTTTTTCATGCAACCGGTCTACACACTGGTCCGTCTTTGGCCAATTCAAGGGCGTTACGGGGTAATCCTATACGATAGCACTGCCCGGATATCTTCAACAGTCTGTATCCAGTCTGAGTGACAACTGACAGTCAGTCTGTCTGTCACTTGGGGAGTCAGTCAGTCAGTGAGACAGTTGAAATGATGATTATAGGTTGGCCCCTTGGGACCATGGTAACAGAATGAGATTCTGTAGAATCCAGTACACTGTATGGATTGAAATGAAACCTGAATTCAAAACAAAACGAATGCAAAACCATGCGTTAAAGATATCTCATCTGAAACAAACTGGAACCCCTTTTTTGTCTAGGGTCTGCCGCAACGCAAATCTACATGGAGACGACAGGTGTCTGTGTAGCTCCCGGGGATGCATTTGAGCTGTACTGTACACTGCGCTCGGCATCCAGGAAAGATACACAGGTATCATTCGGCAAGGGATCCACGCCGATCAACGACACGAGCCACACCCAGGTTCTCGCCTTCACTCCAATGTGTCGGCAGATCGACTCGGACTACAAATGGGACCTGAAGGTGAGGCTGACAGTGCATGCTGCATCCGTGACCGATGGGGGCGTCTACTGGTGTCGGGCAGTAGAAAATGGCATAACGTACACATCGAGTGCCACCGTGTTTGTCCAACGACAATCCGGTAAGAGAACCATGGCATTTCACGTATAGGCACCTGCTATTCTCTTTGTGCATTGAATCGCCGTGTGAGAGCAACCTGAAACGCACCTGGGCTGCGTTCCATTTACGCAAACGTTTGCGCGAGTGGAACGCCGACCTGCAATTACATATCTCGGTAGAATCGCGTCGGCAGCATGTGAAATATTGTCCAATTACATGATATACAAATGGACGCGGAAGGCGCAAAATCTGAGACAACATTTCACATTGCGCAACATTTCCCATAGCGCAACATTTCGGATATAGTACCCGACTTCCGCAACAAGTTATTGAGTAACTTATGAAGTCATTTTAGGTGATGCAGTCACTCAATGATCTTCATAAAATCGGCTTGTATGTTACTTAATCTATTTATAAACCCATTCAAGTGACCGAATTTTTAGAGCCTCACTTTTCAATAATTATGTTAAAGGGATCACTGAACCTCTGTGGCGTTGTTACACCCCAACTATGTAGTTGGGACGATCCCAGCTATACAGTTTGGATCGCCCCGGCTGTAATACAAAGTCATGTATTGTTGGGACTGCGCAACCCATTGGGACTAAACAGTTGGGACCATAATTATTTGGGACTGCCCCAACTGTACGTTGTGACCGTTGTTGGGACTGCCCAATTACAGTTGGGAACATGATAGTTGGGACGTGGCAGTGCTAAAAAGGTACGCACATTATATCCCCATGTATCTCAAGGGGATTTTCAGTAAAATGTTGGAAAGGAAAACAAGGTTTCTATCAAAAACAGAGCGTATACTATTTACCTTTCATCAGACCAACTTTGAGAGCATTTAGATATTACTTTACGATTTAATTTACTCCTATAATCTAGAGTTTGAATTGGCCACTAATTTGACGGCAAATCTGGGGGAGACTGTCACTGTCCCGCTAGACCGAAAATGCGACCACAAAGCTCCAGTCCGAGTCACCCGAACGAGCAGGGATGGAATAGTCGAAGAGCTACCCTACCGGTACAGCCACGAAGGTTATCAGAATGCGTACGTCGACAAGCTAGACGGCGCGCTCATCATTCCAAACTTCAAGTGCACGGACGCGGCTAACTACAATTTCAATGTAATGGCAAGCAGGGGCTTGGAACCTGTGTCCACGTCAAAGTCCATTGACATAAATGGTAAGATTAAAATGATATATGTAAACCAAATAGGTATGCTATACGATGCATGACTTCTGATGTATGTAGTGCACATGTACATGTACATGTACATGTACATGATGTACATGCATATTGGTTTACAGGGTGAGTAAATAAAGTGTCACTTTGGATTAGTCTCCCACAAAAACGGGAAAAGTTACCAGGGTTATTTTCAGTCAACAATCAGTCTGGGCATACGTTCACTAAAATTTGTCTGCAACAGCTCTGCAGACCATCCGTGTTCTTCGCCTCAACTATGCATTGCTTTGAATGGCAGACAAATGGAAGGTCGAGCGGCAGGACAGTGAAAGTGTGAACCTTATCTGTAATTCAGATTCAAGTTCAGTAAATGTAATTCCATTTCATTCATGTCCTGTCCTGTTGTTACTTTATTTCCTTCATTGTCCAGAGGCCCATTGTTGCTATTGTGTCGATAGCAAGAGGCCTATTCTTAACATTGTGTTGGCAGTGTTTTCGGGTAGTCGCAAAGAAAGGCCTGTATCCTATTCATGCATAGCTGGATATCAGTGAAAATTTTACTGAACGTGATCAATACCCAGACCGATTATTGTTGGCTGAAAAAAAAATCTGGTAACTTTCCCGTTTTTTGTGGGAGACAAGAACTAATCCAAAGGAACATTTTTTTTACTCATCTTGTGTATACTCACTTAATTTCAAAGAGTGTACGTTTTCATTTTGATTTTGTAGGGAAGATAACGTATCTGTGTCACGAACAAATCAGCACAAAAACTTGCAAAAATTAATTAGTAGCTTTGGTCAATTTTCATACAGCTTCGTGTAAAAGTTGCTGCCCAGAGGACGCGGTTCCGGTGACTCCAACCCTCAAGAGTAAGTTTTTACAAGGCCAATAGATCTTTCTCGGGGTGCGCCACCTTGAAAATATAAGCGAGGCAAATAACGCAAAATGGTGGCTGTAACTACTTTGCGAGAGTTATTCGTTCACCGCACACACTATTTACGCCGCCAACTTTACTTGTCTCGCTTTGATTATCAAGATGGCGTACCCTGAGTAAGCTCTGTTGAGTTTTTTTCCGTAGAAAGGAATGGGTTGTCGGGGCACTCTAGCCCGTAAACATTATAAGGATTATCTGGGGGAAGTATGGCAATCAGCACTTGTTTCAACTGTCATATTATGTTTCCATTGTTTCGACTGGCATTTCCTCATTATGAAGGAAAGAGATGTGTGTGGTTTAATGATTTTTGCCGAATATGCCAGACAAAAGGCATAGACATGTTCGTTAAATGTTTTCATTAAAAGTTGGTTATTCAAGCAGAGAGAGGCTTAATATACACATTTTACATTATATTAACTTGCATTTAAAGCCTCGTCCTCTTCACGGTCGATGATCGCCAGTGCTCTCGATTAACTCGAGGTGGTGAGACACGCACATACACACCCACACTTGTTTCACATGACTAGTGTGGACTTTCCATTGCTTTCGTGTAGTTAAGAAAAACCAGTGAAAAAACTCATTTTTCTCAAACTGTGAAAACTCTTTCAACCCAATTTTTTTTCTATGATTCCCTTTAGTGTTTCTCTTCATTCTGCTACAGATAAACCTAACCCAAAAATGCCTCTAAACCTGTTTTCCAGAAATGGGGAAACACTGTGTGGACGTGGGGTAAGTCCACACAACGTCGGTACTACCTACATTATGTGGACGTCTTTTGTTCGGAAGTCCACACTGCGTATGTAAGACAAACTCACCCATGGACACCCACACACACAATTATGGGCAAGCACGCGGTCGTACTTTTCACATTACGTCTGGCAAGGCAGTACCTGCCACTTTCGGAATAGCGTACTTTTGTATCCCAACTTGCGGAAATACCGTACGTATACGGTACATTGCTTTATCCAGCCCAAGTTTTATATCGGCAGTCTTTCGCGTATATGCCTTGCGCCCCCAAACAAAGTCATAACAACCTGTGAAAGGCCAAAAGAGCTCGATATCTCACCAGTCACTCAATTTCCTTCTGTTCAACATAATATTTAATAGAAACTAAAATAAGGTGAATTTGTTGGGGAGGATCGTTGATTACAAACCACAACACTCCTTCACTATTTGAACTGAGTTTCTTTCTCACTTGGGTACAGCAACTGGCCAGGCTGACACCGGTCGCAAAACCAATGAAGCACCGGGAACCGTAGTCGCCCCAAACCAAATGCTGGATGCAGAGAATCAACCGGATAACGGCGCTTACATTGTCATAGGACTCCTTGTCGTCTGGGGGATCGCCGCCCCCCTTGTTGTGCATTTTTGGCACCGGCGCAAGAACCGTCGATCCTCCAGGTGAAACGTTTGTGTCTTAACAGATTAATGACTATAGTAATTGTATATAATTATACATGCGTCTATGACATCGGTTCAAGGATTAAGGTTGACGTGGGCATACAGGAACTTCTGAAATCTCCTTGTCTCGTTATGGACCCATTTTCATAAAACTGAATGGTTCCAAGGGCGGGTCCAGAACACAATTGTGGGCACCAAAAAAAATGTGGTGCTCCAAAAAGCGGGTCCTAAAAATTACGGCGTGTTGTTCGGGCCCCCGCTCAAGGGCCCCTATTTTTTTTGGATTCTAGATGCTTTGTGCAAGCTGAGGCAATTTCTGACCATTTTAACCAATTGTTTTTTAGTAAATGTGTACGGGTGCCTGCCTTTATTGCGACGTCACTTTTATTTTTTAAAATGGTTCATGTTGTGGGCCATGGTCCCCGTTGCCCCCCTCCCCTTAACGGTTCTTGGGTGCTGAATGGTAATAACATATCAACCGATATGAAAACCCACTTGCTCATGGAAGTATGTTATCATCAGCCCAGGGCAAGTTCGCGCAAGAACTATTGTTGACCGTTGGTTAACCATAGCTCGACTAAAGTTAGCCCGAACTCTGTCTAGTCGACTATTTGGAACCAACCTACTGGGGCTGGTTGCATCGCTGGTAACCAATAGCCGCGCCCATTCATAACGTACAGCAGGGAGCCAGGATCCAAGAGTTTTGCGATGACATTTGACCAGCGTTTGACTAGAGACGTTCGCACGTAGCTATTAGAGCGCAGGCGTAAGGTACGTCACAAATCAACCACTAGTCGACTAATGGTCCTTGCCCGAACTTGGCCTCAGCTGACAATGACGTAATGCCGCGCCGCACTATAGTTGTGTGGATTTTGATAGAACAAAAGTACTTTAGCATTAATGAACCCTACAAAAAAGGAGACAGTATTTTCAATTTTGCGATAATGCAAGAGAAAAGTTTAAATATATTTCGATTCAGAGATGAGGGGAGTTTATACACTCTAAAAAAAGTCCCTGGTCAGATTTTATCCGAAATCTGTGTCATATGCATGTATTTGACCTGATACTTTCAGGGTCACAATTCTATTTTTTTCCAATTCATGTTTCCCGGTCTAAATGATATTTTTGCCGAGGTTGACCGAGCGGAATGTCATTTTGAGCCGAAAAGGTGACCATTTTGACCTTGAAATTATCAGGTCAAATTATGACCCGAATTCCGGGTCAAATCCGATCCAGGACTTTCAAGAGTGTGTCTGAATTATAACATTCAGATTGTTTCTTGTTTTTGACAGTACAAGCGATGCAGAAGATGGAGCGAATGGAACCAGGGAACCGCTTAATATACAGGTGATCTCAAACGGCCAAGCCCATAGCCAGTGAAAATAATGAGGAATCAATCAAAACTGGACACGGGCCGAAACAAGAAAACAAATTCGCCATATTTATTAGGTTCAGAAAATAGACGATTCAGGGCACAATGTAAAAAATGAAATGTTTTACAAATGTATAAAGTTCCAACGTTCAAGGTGTTTTTTTTGCAGCATTAAATCATAGCAAAACCTAGAAAAATCCCATTTTGAAAAATTCATTACTTTTAGGTCTGCCTGATTCGCAAGAACACGTCATACATTTAAGCTCTGGAGTGGTATTCACAATTACTAAGTCAGCTTTCAATGCATATTTGAAGCCACTTAAGGGTTGTAATTATCATCCTATGGAGTGTAAAGCAGCAAACCAGAAAAGTGGGGGAATGAAAAGAAAAAAAAGAAGAGGCCGTAAGCCGATATTATGATTGTAAATTTAGCTTCAATCACACAATATAAAGTGCCAGAAAGGTGTGTAAAATGCTAGAGTGAACTCCTGCAAATCATTGAAGAGCATCAAATCATAGCATCAAATGCTGCCTTCCAACCCCCCCCCCCCCCCCCCCCCCCACTTTCTAGCTTTGCCTAGACCAGTCGAAAAAAATAATGGTAATCCCTTTTCCCAATACCAATATCCCATGACAAAATCTTGGGGTGGGCCACTGGCGTGCTTGACCAAAATATTACAAAATAAATATAATTACCTTTATCTTTAAAGGTGGATTTGTAGTGATCAATTCCTACAGTTACTGAGAAAATTGAATTCTCTACTGCAAATGCCTTATCAACCTCAAAAGCCCTCTATCGTAACATTTCCCAAAATATAACTCAAAAACAAGAAGAATATCATAACTCAAAACGAACTGAACTCTTAACTTTGAAAAAGGCTGATAGGCTTATATGTAAAATATAATTGTGTATATAAGATAAGTTTACATTGAAATTTAACAATCAATTAAATAATTAAACTAAAATGATGTAAATGTGCTTTGAATGGATGTCATTATCAAATACAAATCAGAGTATTAAAAACTATACATTAAAATTTGTATTTAAGTGGATGTTAAAACGGGTGAGGGCACTGTTTTTCTAACTACTAAACTCAAGTTAGAGCCGGGATGGTCGAGTTTTTGTATCTCTCAGCTCTGCAACGAGGAATAATTAGACTAGAGAAGGTGATGTCCGTAGGTTTTCTACCCGTACTATTTGATTTCTGAGGAGGGAGCATATTTCTAAGCCTTTGAGAGGTTCATGAGTTTATGTTTAAAACTTTAAAAATGTGATTTCTTCAAGATTCCAAAGTAGGAATTCTTAATAGTTCTAGGGCCTTAGAGTACCAATCATTGTTTATCTTTCGAAATGTTTCTTCTTCTTTTTTTGGTACTAATTTTATGTGAGTCTATTCGTGAACAAATATGTGTGCTATGATTTTTGTCTAACATACACTTTATATTAAAGTGCAAACGTTCACATTATTTCCTGCAGGAGTCAGCTTCAAAATCTGTTCCAGTTTTTAGTACAGATCATGTGTCGAGATCAATACTGTTTTTTATCTGGACATCGAAAACTATTTGCATATTTCGTATGACGGTAGTGTTTATGTTCTTGTTAAGACTTGATTTGACTCCTGCGGAAATATGTACAAGAAAAATAATACCGTTATGCTGCACTGGTACACATTGATGCACGTGGGAGACCAAAGCGAGATAGACAATGCAAACTTATAAACATTTTCACCCTTGAAATGAATCATTATTTCAAGTATAAATGGATTTTTTGAGGAGGCAGGGCGAGAGAAATAAGTTTGTTTTGGGAGTAGCTAAGGTAGGGCTACATTAATGCCCCCTTTTTCCAACTGGTGTGTGCCGATCAATTCTTGAAGACAAAATACGAGATTCATGATCAAGATGATATTGATTGGATATGAGGGTTGTCTTTTGAACGCCAATGACGGGCGCTTGTGTGTACGAGTGTAGCATATTAAAGGTGAAGGTAACGCCCTATGGGTACATTTATATTTTGTTGACATGAGTCGAGCAACAGTAGATATTGATTGGAAAAATATGTAGGTGCAAATGCACCGTTTAAAAAATCAGATTGATATATTTGTGCTAGAGTCTACGTGTAACATCTCTGAGTTGATAAACAGTTTCTACTGTAATTGTTTTGTTGGAAACACCTTGGTATTTCCTCTTCTTGTAATGTTTGAGATGATTATTACAATTATATATAATTTGAGGTTTATATCATTGTGTATTTTTGACCTCGTTCAATGTCCAGTAATCTAATCCTTCCGCTTTTGTGTCGCTAAGAAGAAAGCTTAATTTGATCCTTCGATCATAATGTAGGCCTATTATATAGTATGATGTAAACAATTGGTACTATTATTTAACCGCTAGGTTAATAGTTTATTAGATTATTTGTCGTGGCTAGCAGCATAATTGGCCATTTAAGGGATATAAACTGGCCTGAGTATTGTATTTTGAATACATCCACTTATATGTTGTTACGTGATTTATACAATTATTAAAACCGATCGCATTAGACAGCCATATTTGGGGTGTGTTTTGTTATGTTAATTCATGAATGCACAAGAAGTCTACTCATGCGCACACTGCAAAAAACTGCAGTGTTAAATTTACACCATTGGTATCTATATAGGACCATCTGGTGTTAGATTTTACTGGTGTTGTCCTACTCCTGCATATACACCTAATGGTGTTAAATTAACACTACAGCTTTTGCAGTGTATCCCTGTTGAACAACAATACACACCTCCAAAATGGCCACAGTGCAAACCATCCTCATTTATATAAGAATGACGTAAGTGATATTTTGGTTGAAGCTTGCATTTGTTTCTTTCAACGATAAAAACAATAATTGCTCGACGCAAACAATGTTTTTGATTACCTTTTTCCATGTAAAATTCATTTTTCATTGATGTGCTATATATTATTTACTGTTTAAATAATTCTCCTTTGAAGAGTTTATTGTACTATTAAAACAAAAAGTAATGAGCTATTAAGGCTATGTGTGAGGCTTGAAAGTGATTCACCGACTCTTTGCCCCCTAAAGTTATATATACATATTTTGGCAGAATGATTCCTAACCGTAACTACCCCAATAAACACTCATGGTGAAATTTTAGCTTGGTATTCTTCAGTGAAATTTAGGAATAATCACTTGGAGATGGGTAAAAATGAATTTCATTTACGACCTCTCACAACCGGCATTGTCGTTCCTATATAGGTCTCCTTAATACGCTGCTAATTATGTGCATGTTTGTTTTCATTTCGTCTATACTTGCGTGAAAACGTTTCCATATTATCGCTTTGCCATTAACAATTTAATGATGGCCTTTAGTTTTGGAGGTGATTTTCTTAAAACGTTGATAATCGTGTGTCGTATTTCTCACCGGACGAAATACGAATTCAGGCAGACTTGCGATGTTTTTATCTGCAGCACACATCGTCAATGGATCCTGATTATCCAGCTAGTTCAATGTTTATTCATAAGAAAACAACAATGACGTCACACCATTTCTATCACTCAGTCATGAATGCACATATAGACATTTCAAAGAACGGCTTTCGTTAAACTGCCCAGTGGCCTAGTGGTGTGGAATGAACTATGGATCGCAAAATCTGTGGTTCGAACCCATGTCAACTTTCATCAAATATTTTTGTTGGTTGGGATAAGTTTAAATGAAGGGAAAACTCTACGAGAACATAAGTGTCTTTCATCTACACAGAGTGATACATATTCATGTTACAGTGCGTGATATGATTGGTTAAAATACGACGTATGCAGCCAAAAAAAAATACGCGGCCGGCTTTAAGCCCGGTTCATACTCGGCGCGAAGATACTTCATGCGAATGCGAATGCGAAGCGAATTTGACGTCATGAAACATTCGCTGCGAAATTCGCCCGAGTTGAACTTTCGCGAATTCGCAGCACGAATACTTGCCATGACGTCACAGATTCGCGTTCGCTTTCGCATGAACTGGGCTTTATGCCAACAATGCCATTGTTCCCTTTGTGCGAGCAAACAAGGACATCTCGCCGGCTTGATATGTGGGGCAACAGTTTGACCGGACCCAAGGCTGAAATAGCTGCATGTGCATAGTTGCATCGATAGCAGTACTGTTAAAAGCAGAATTTTGACGTCTGAACTGTAGAGTGACTGTTGTTCATATCTTAAGGTACGTATACGTTGTTGTTAGATGAGGATTCACTTCAAATTACCACTGAGTAACCTGTAGTATGCATTTCTTTCCACACAATATTGTGCACAACAGTATTCGGTAGTATTCGGTAGTATTCGGTCATTGGGTCCCAAAGAGCCCGTTACGGTTAAGTAGGCCTACAGACCTTTCTGCGCTTGGTTGGCAAACTGCATTTTTGCCAACCACGGCCTGCAAAACTATGGAAGGTCCAACACTGCAAAAATGAAGAAGAGTTATAACAGATCACCAAAATATTATTTGATACTTGAAAATACAATATTTTCAACAAAGCTACAAAATAATTCCTACATATGCCTTTTTATATATGTGTTGATGGCGTTATTAGGACTTTTTTTGGAAAAATATGTTGCCAACCACGGCTTCAATTTATGCGCTTACGGCAGCCCATACAAAATGGCGCCAGTGTCATATGGAGAACTTTGCCACCCATAATTACTAGCGGGATGCCGCGCTTCGCGCGGCACCCGCTAGATGGGTGGAGTTGACTGTTTCGTAATAATTACTGTATACAGTGAAATCTCGATAATTTAAACTCCAATAACTCCAAACAATGTTAAGTCAAATAAAGAATCAGACGCTCTGCTGCACGCGCGCGAGCCTATTTGGAGTCGCCATCAGTCTCACCTAAGTTGTATTTGCGTTTAGCAACGTGCGCGCACATAACGTTTCCAGCGGAGATTGTGCGAGGGTCCAGGACATATTGTCAATATAGGGGAAGGGGTTAGCTAGGGTGAAGGGTGCTAGTCGGAACGCCCAATTTCGGTACAACCCGTCAACCATGTCACAAATATTTCCGGGGATGGGGAGATATATTTCCAGGGACGGGGAGAAATGGTTTTTGTTATAGAGGGGAGATGGTGATATTGAAATCGCTGATATTGTGGAGGTTTATGTTTATGCTGGGATTCATACCGTTTAAATGTTGTTTTAAATTGCGCACCGATTAGGAAGGTCTTGCTGTCAACAGTTGAATGAAATTAAGTATTTATTGCCGACCGATTGTCTCATGCGATGTCTCATTACATGTATATAAAGCTCATAACTAATGTTGTGCTGGAATATTGTCCAGTCAAATTGAACATTGATTTTTCAAGGTGCCAAACCATAAAGGACGTATACACCAACTGTACAATTAGGTAATTTAGATGCAACGCGGTTTGATCTTGGCCTATACAACGTCGTATCCATCGTTCTCACTACAGAGGAGAGGAGGGGGAAGCTAGTGGGGGTGGGGGTTGGATATTGTGTGGCCTATTTACATGGGCGTCGCCAGGATTTGTTTTCTAGAGGGGGCAAAACATATTTTTGCCAAAACAATGCCTGTTTTTCTCAACACATTCTCCATTTATCAGTTTTAGAGGGGGGCAGGGACATTTTGCCCCCCCCCAACTCATTTAATTTAAAATTAAACTCATTTTTTCCCCTTCTTTTTTCTTTTTTTTCTTTTCCGGGGGGGGGGGGGGCAAGTGCCCCCCTTGCCCCCCCCCCTTGCGACGCCCATGCCTAGTTATGTTACACCTGTGAATGGTCACTTATATTTCCGGGGAAGTGGGCAACAATTTATATTCGTTATGGTGAAGGGGGTGTTTCTTATGTATTAAGTAGTAGTTAATGTCATTATAGCAGTTGGTGTTTTTATTATGGTGATGGGGTTGTAGAGGAAAGTATTGTAACACGTTCATTTGCAGAAGAGAGTAAAACTATAAGAAAGGACATATTGGAGCACTTCATAATTATGTCAAGCACCACATGTTAAATGTATTTATTACAAAACTGTGAAAATGAAATCAGGTACAATGCACACACGAATTTTTTAGTAATAATGTATTTGCATTCATTACAGGGTAGTACTTCGACAAAACTCAGGGGATATAATTGTAGTAAATTTTCGGAGCGATTTTTGCAAGGGACGTCGGTCCAGGCTTGTTTAGCATAGGCAAAAACATTCCATGAAAGACTTTCAAGCAAGACGGGTAATCATTCCATAATTATTCTTGGGTACAACTAAGCCAAGGATATAACTTTAAAAAAGGATGGACATAAAACAGCAGAAAAGAGTGATTATTTTTGCACTATTTCATTTTCATGACTTCTAAATAATAATAAAATTATGGCTAGAAGAAAAATGTGTTTTGAATGGGTAAAAAGAAAAAGCAGGAATCTTGCAGTTGAACTGGAAAGAATAGGTGTGTCACGTCTTCGTCTTGAGTCGAGATTCTTGCTTTGGGAACTGGTTGCAGCATGCACTGGAGCATGCTTGGAGCATGGTTGGAGCTGGTCATGTGATGTGGGTGTCATCGGGAGTCCTGTGTAAAGGAGTAACAAAGAAAACTTGTAAAAAAAAATACATCAGCTAACACTACAAATAAATTGTTCCTGCGCGGTTTGTGCCTTACGGTTCTGCGCGCCTTGCGTGCTCACAGCACATCGCGCAGTAATCGCCATCTTTATTTTCGGGTTGCGTGTTTTCGCTGTGCTGTCATCGTAATTCCCCCCCCCCCCCCAAATTTCCCTAAAAAAATCAAAACCCTGCCCTCTATCTATGACATACTTGTTTATTGAGAATGTCTCCAACAATTTTGGTCGGGCTTTTTTAAAGTGGATTTTGTTCCCTTATAGGAACCGGGCCCTACTACATACTAAATACTACACGATCGCCATGTCCGAGGCCCACGCGATTGGGTCACACTTTTCACAAACAACAATTGTCATTGCCAGCAGTGGTGTTCGAAAGAATACTTATAATCCTTTGCCAGAGGTGTTCGAAAGAATTACTACTAACTATAATCTATAATGTGTCATAGCACAAATCGGACTTACCATTGAAAGAGAAAATTGTAGCATAATCAATGCATCAAACGACCATCAAACGAAGCTAGTAGTGCTGAGGAAATGTGGGGCAAGCATGCCTTTAGCTTTGCATGTTGCATGGAATACCGTTGCTACGAATTGGTTTTAGACGATTGGTTTAGCTCACATGGACAGATGAAATTAGGTTCGGTACGGTAGGTCGGCATAATTTTACCTTTTTCTGAAAGGTTGAGATTTTCAAATTAAATGTAGTTGATTTTTGAATCCGCCAGTGCTACTTACATTCGCGATTTTTTAGAGAAGAATTCTGCGTTTGTTTGTTTTTTTACAAGTTCGCTTGATTGATTGGGAAGTTGTCTTCGCGATAACCAGTATGTATAAAGAATGCATGATTGAATCGCTGTAACCTGTGTATGCCGCGGTACAATTGCTGGTTGGTTAGACAAGTAAAATGACAAGAAAACACCGATATTTGCGAGGTCTATTGTATAAAAGGGAGCTACTATAAAAAAAAAAGGAATATAGCATCACGCATGCTTATACAGTTGTACGGACAGTGTCCGCCAGTTTTTTGCTTGGGTCAGATAGTTTTTTAGTCCTAATTATTATATATCCAAATAATATTTTGTAAAAAAAAGAAAAAATGGGGAGTTGATTTTTATTTTTTGTTAAAATCAGAATTTTATATAATTTCACCGGAAATGCGAGGTTTCTTGGGTCAAATGCGATTTTCTTGGGTCAGAAAATTAATTTTAACAGATCAGATAATTTAATCCTTTAAAACAGTTGATAATTAGACACAAATTAAAGGGGTTTCCTTTTTTAATTTTATGATTTTTTTCTTTCTCTTCGTTGATCTTTGCAGTATCCCAATAATTTTTCACTCGCACGCCGGCCTGGTTAAGGAATAGTTTGTTTAGCCCCGGCCGCCTCTGTTTTGACAAGCATTTGGTTAGCGGGCTATACCGCTAATTTCGAACCCTGATGTGTTATGTGTTATACCTCCATGGTTATTACCAAGCATTTCAGTTGTAAATAGAAATTGCTAGGCCTACGGATGTCCCCGCGTGTCTGCTTTTTAATTGATCAATGGTTGAGAACCACAATGAAAGTTGAGTGACAGGCAGTTGACAAGTCTGATCGATCTCTTTTGATCTTCTAAACCCGCCGGTTCTTTTAGGACACCGAACCGCGAGAACAGATCCATGGTAGTCCAGAGCGTTGCAATTGGGTCAGTTTGTCAGTTTGACAATGGTGACAATTAATTGACTGACAGGTACATTGATTAAAAAAACACGAAAAATGCAACTGGTACATCGTTGCATTAATATATGGAATTAAATTTGACGTGACAAGGCTACAGGTATGCACAAAACGATACAACACTCGTCTAACTACAAAAATCAGTTACTTTATTATCATCATTCACGGGTTCACTCCCAATCACACACAACGGTCACACATTGAACTACGGACTACCCGTCACACTATTCCCAAATTCTTCCTAACCATGCCAACCCAATCCTCGAAACCACTCCTAAAACGGCCCGCGTACGAGTTGGTTCGCGTACGAGTTGGTTCGCGTACGAGTTGGCTCGCGTACGAGTTGGCATGCGTACGAGTTGGTTCGCGTACGAGTTGTATCGCATACGAGTTGACCAATCCGCGTACGAGTTGACTCGCGTACGAGTTGGTTCGCGTACGAGTTGACCTGTTTCCACGTATACGTGGCACGACAGGTGTAGCGTGAATATCCGACTCCATGAAATGTGGACTCATTGGTAGTACTGCGCACGCGTGAGTACGATACTGCGCTATTTTTAGGATCATTTCGGGAGAGTGACCTGTCACGTGCGAGGGATCAACCAATAATAGGGAAATAGGGGTCCGATTTTTATAGGAGTCGAATTTTCATGTGACACCGGCCCATACGCAAGATGGCCGGCGCGGCCCAATGGGGAAGGGAATTATGGGAAATAGGGTGGAAATAGCCGGGCCCCGTTCCGCATCCCCCGCGGCCAACGGGCGCGGGCGGGACAGGAGACCGGTCGGGAAAATGGCAGCGCCCCCCAATCATTTTCGTGATTGTAGTAATAGATGTGCAGAAAATCAAAGCCCTGCATGCTCTGCGGTCACACACAACGGTGTATTGACCCGGCGACCTGCATAGCCCCACTGCGTATAGCCCGGACTATACATAAACAGCAGGTCGATCCTCGGAACAAAAGCGATGTCTGATTTGACAAGAAAAGTGCCCCTTGTTCTTCTCAACCAATCTAAACGGTTGTTACATGAATGGAAAGCTTATTGTGTTATCTTTCAGAAACCGTGCGAGGTAATTGTATGCGACCGGGTTCACACGTGTGCTGTTCGAAGAAGTAAACCCGCACCCTCAAAAATCGGGGAAATGTGCCGTGATCTCCATAGGAAACGCGAAATTTTCACTGAGTTGCCCGTTTTTCAATGAAAAAGTGCACATAATTATTCGGCTTTCATCATAAAGAAATTATATTGTGAAAGAGGAAAATCTGTATTTTGTGATGCGATGCGAGGAAGTAAGTTTAACCAACACACTTTCCGCATAATAACGAAAGTTTGCTCAGAGCGCCTAGACATGATCCAGTCTTCCCACGTAAACAGAGCTCCACTAGGCACTAGTGGTGAGTGAGCAAATGCTCCCTAGTTCTCCCATGGAGGAATTCCTCCATGGTTCTCCATATGAAACAAAAGAAAGGCCGGAAAATATTCCATACTGGGCCACCACTCAGAGCTCCTGCCCAAAGTCTATGGGCCATGACAGAACATTTTAAAGTATTATCAAAGAATTTGTGCACTCCTTAAACAGTGTTCCTTCATCAGATTTACAACTTTTGGTACTTTTCAGGTCATATTAAGGAATATGAGTGGTGGCCCAGTATGGAACTTTTTCCAAAAGGCCTATATTCCAAAGGATTACATAAAAATGATACGGACGGATCATCCTAACTTGGGTGTTTCGGTTTGCGGTGGCTGCTTGCGAAAGCAGTAATAGTACAGGCATTATACGGCTGCATGATTACGGCTGTTCTAGTCTCATAAATAGGCATATGTCCTTTCTTGCAGACAGGGCCCTGGAGTGCTCTGAAACGTGCAAAACTAAATCAGGCCCACTTTACTCACACTTTAGCCAGCAAATTTCTCAAAAAATTCCACTGGGGCAAAGAAAATGTCCTCAGTATTTCACCAACCAAGTTTGCAGACTCAGTTCAATTTTTAAAGGAGACCTTTCTTCAATATTTTGCACATGAGAGGGAAGTCAAGTGATTTAAAAATGGGGCTAAATACTAGACTGGTACATGTCCAACCATGGTCCAACTATTTGAAAAGACTGACTTCTTTCCAGTGTCAATAGTCTGGTGGCTTGACTATGGAGAAATGTGTAGTAAATTGAGACTAGTTCCCGCTTCATGCCACATGTTTCTTAAATTCTTTGGCATGGTTGATTGATGCAGTACTGAAGCTGTGTTGGACTGGTTGTTTTAGGCGCCAGTCTATTTTCTTGTTTTGCATGTTTTCAATACCTTAAGTTTTGGGACTCTCATACACAGTATTGAGAGTCCCAAATTTTCGGACTAGTCTTCTTGTATAATGTTCTTGTGGGTGTCAATACTTTTGGTGGTGGGTTTTTTTGTGAGGGGACCTCACAATATTTTCCTTTTCTTTCTTTTTATTGAAAATTTTCCTCCGTTTATCAGTGTCAGGACTTGTTCTTTCCTTTAAGTACGTAATTGGCCCAAGGTTGTGGAAATGTTCCTGCCTATTTAAACTCTTTCCAGAGAACTGGAGGTCAACACGGTGCAGTACGCTCCCACTAGCTGCTCTCTCACCGGTACTGGATCATTTGCAACTTCAAAAATCTCGCACGTGCAGATTTGGTCCAGCATAGCCTGGTGGCTAGCCAAAGTAAATGAGCGTTTGGTTTCTGTATGCGGTGTCCGTAGCACGGACGGAATCAATTCGTCACCGCGTGTGATCGAAAAACACGATTTTTCTGGTTTTCTGGCGAAGGGAGGATTTGACGTGATATTGAACTTTAAATCTTATGCTGGAAATACAGTTACCAAGTGCACTATATAAACCCATTATTTGCTATTACGGTAGCGAATCAGCGTACAGGAACCACGTTTTCAATCTAGAGGCTTTTATTTGAAACGAGGTTGAAAATTATGAAGACCCTGGGGACTAGGTTGGCTAGAGGAGGCAACCCCTTCCACTGAGTGTGTACATAAACCGAATATTGTTTTTTTCTTCAAATGTTCAACTGTTAAAAGATTATATATTTTTTTCAGCATGAATTTTTCAGCGATCAAAGATTACAAGGGAGACGGTAGATACTATGTTCATGCAGTCATAGTGCGCAATCTCGACAAGCTTACTTTTCGACCGGAGGATGACATCATAGACGTTGGTTGTGGTACGGGCGAAGAGACGAAAGCATTAGCGAGGAAAGTTAACAGCGCAACAGGTATATTGAGCGATTCACGGAAGTTGCGTCAGGGTGATGTAAATCAATGTTTTGCTATTCAGTTTAACGACATATAAACACTGCATACTCAGTGTGTTACCTCCTAAGTGAAAGTTGGGGGTATAAACCAAATTCGAATCAGCCAAGTGATCCGTTGGCGGCTGAACGGTTTTCAAACTGGGGGCATCACCAAAAAGGGGCACTTGCTCAGTAAAAGGCATCTTCCGTCTGTGCAGAAGCGTATCCAGCATTTTGGGGTTGTTGTTTTTTTTTTGGGGGGGGGGCACATCCGTGCTGACATGTCGGAATATTTTTTTCACCGGACACTTTGCCTCCGTAAAATCAAATGGGGAAGAGCGGTGGGTGGGGGTGTGGGGGTGTGTAAGGGGGTGGGGTGGAGGGGGGGGGGGGGGCTGGTGCCATCTTCCAAAATTTGGCGCTCTTCAAAACCGGCCATTATGCAAACTACGCATTATGTTAGGGTTTTGGGGATCATATTCCTCGTTCATATCCGAACTCTCTATACCATTCTGGGAAATGGTTACTGATTAAAATTCTCTGAAATTTTAGTGTCAGTTTTGCTTTCATCTCGAGGGGGCACATTTATGTTCGAGTGGGCACTTTTATGTGTGAACACCTTTTTCAAAATAATAAAAGCTAATGCTGCGCACGTACGCGCAGAGGTGATCCAATCAATGGCTTTAAATGGGAACTAGCTACCAGTTTGACTGCATCCCCCCCCCTCCGGCTCCCTCCCCCCCCCAAATATGACTGGCCTCAGTAGAGCCATGGTCTCGTTTGTGGAGCTGAGTTGGGGAGGGGGCTTTTAAATTGCATGTGGCGGAAAAATACTTCCAAGGTAGCGCGTATTAAGGTGACATTAGGTGGAGTGCTCAGAAAATGATACGTTCCCCGTGCTATTTTCGAGTTTCATTTCGAAAACAGATTTTTTTTTTTCAAATTGCTATTTTTCTAGAAATATTCACTTTTGAATGAGGCATCGAACAAAAAAAAACGCCAAAAATCTAACTATTGCTTGTACGATACTCGACTCTCGCAGGGTGGGTTCATTTTGTGCGTTAAAAAAAGAATCCTTTTTCAGAGATTTGCAAACGCCCAAAACCGGTATAGTTGTTCGTTTAAACAAAACATACACATTGAAAATTCGTTAGGAGAAGAAAAAGTTTTCCAGAAATATTATTATCCACGGAATATCTGGTTTCCGACACACTGTCGTTTCTTTGTTCAAAACGCCAGAAATCCAATATGAAATTCCTTGATAACATTATTTGTTGACGATCTATCATCATCTACCAAATGAATGTTTTATAACACAGGCATTGACACTTCAGATGAGATGCTAGCCGTCGCTCATGCCAACAACTCGGCACCCAATATAACTTACAATTGGGGAGACGCACGGACCATTGGAGACAACCCGGACTATCTGGGAAGATTCGACAAGGCTGTCAGCTTCTTCGTTCTTCACTGGTTCCCGGACCACGCTAAGGCACTCAGGAGCATCTTGGCTTGTCTCAAGCCGGGAGGGGAGGTGCTGCTCATCGTGAGTAAACCAACAACGTTTGCAAAGGAGGCACTTGCTTTTCTAAGCAGTCACGCCAAGTGGGGTGAATACATGCAGGTGAGTCACACGGCCCACCCGTATTAGTCTGGTTCCCTGTCTTGACCATCCCCTGACGCCTCTTATGGTATGTCAGGTATAGCCAAAAAAGGGTATGACGCTTAGCATCGCCCTTGTCCGGGAGCATACTGAAGGCAAAAGCACCAAGCTAGACAATTTAGCTAGGCATGACATATTACAAGTGCAGGACATTATGTGCAATTATAATCGACACATTTTGATAACTGCAGTTCCTTCCATTAACAGAACCGTATCCCAGAATTAGAAATGACCGCAAAGATGAACACCGTCTTTTTATAAACAAGTCGAATTAAATTGCGTATTCAACACTTAGGCCAAAAAAAAAAGTCTCCGGTTTCTGGTATGGAGCTTGTCCAAAAAGTGATGCGGCGACGCGGCTTTTTTTTTTTTTTTACCCGACTTTTTTGCTTCAAATGTCGGCTGATGACTGCAAATGGTGCCCGACTAAACTTAGTGAAAATATATGGGAGTCCAGAGAGGCCACATAAAGCTTATTCTCGATCATAACCCCATCTAAAAACACGTTGAAATTGCGCAGCAGCAGAATTCCAGTCAAACCAGTGAGTTTGGCGGTTTTGATACATCATCTGGTACGCGCGCGCATACCAGAAACCGGAGACTTTTTTTGTTTGGCCTTATTCTCTTTTTTTTATAGGCCTACAATAGTCCGTACTACTTCTGGAACCAGTCAGTTGCTGAGATGGAACAGCTGTTTGAGAGTTGTGGTTGGACCAACCCAAGGTCTGAGATACAATACTTCTTGCCAGAAACAGAGCTGCGAACGAAAAGTAATGCATAATGAGTCTTTAACCTCGTTCTCACGCTCCACTTAGTTTCAACCCCGGTCTTCATAGTAGACATTAAGAGGGTAGCTGGTTTATATGTTCTGATTGGTTTTTGCAATACATAATGTATTTAGATCTTTTGATTTCATTTTTCATTATAAGCCTATATGCATATTATGTCAGTTTAAGTTCACTGTGAACATATTACCCTCCTTACAAACTATTTTCCATTTCTGATTTTGAATATTGTCATTTTAGCGTAATGACCGCAGATGGAATCATTGTGTTTTCCCGATCAGACTTTAACTGAAATTACTTTAGTCTGGTACCCCAAACGTCACATAAAACATGGACTTGCAGTGGTATACTTGTACCAGTCTCTTCCACGCCTCGTGATATCCAAGGTTTTGGCCAACGATCCATTGCTAAAGTGAGATAACAGCTAATATAGCATTCTGCTTGAAATTAAGCCATGCTTGGCCTTGGGCCTGGGGACGGGTTGGTGGATACCAAACGCGTTTTTATGACGATAATCATTGAATGATCTATCCTTTAATAAAACGGTCAGCTAATAAATCATATTGATACGATCCCTGCTTTGGCATCTTCGGCTTCTATATCGGCATAATCATAGACGAATTTCAAATAAACACTGGAACCGAAGGCCTAATATTCTCTCTTCAGTGAGGATTTAAAAAAGCCCCCCCCCCCCGTGTCATACAATGCTTCTCACTAGGAGCCTCGGCATGCCTGATATATGAAATGTGTCTAAACTTTTAGTTTCTCACCTGCATTTCTGGCTAAATAGTACGATATGTTTTTCTAACAACGTTAACCCTCTTCCTACTCTGAAAATAAAATTACCCTTTCTCTGTTTTCCCTTCGTAGTATTTTTGAAGACAGTTTGGGCAGCATCAACGCAAATACCGGAGTCGGACCAGGAAGCGTATTTGGAGGATCTCTGGCAGTGGGCGTTGTCTCGATACCCGGATGAGACTCGACCAGGATATGTCTTCTTTCCGATACAGCTGTTGGTCACACACGCTTCAAAGCCGCTCTAAAGTCGCCGATTGTCTGCGATGCTCTCTGTTTAGTGGGATAATTTAATATTTGCCATTTCGAAGGAAATGGTGTTGAGCAAAAAGAAAGGGGGTGGTATTTAGAGGATTCAGGATGTTGCTAAAGTCGGAGGGTTCGTTATATTTCAAATTATCCACGCTATTTTTTTTCTTTTTCTGAACAAATCTTTAAGCTCTGGCAGGAGCTTTTACATGTCACTTGGTGGTCGGTCGGTCGGCACGTCTGTCACCGGAAAATTGACCAAAATAAGCCTCATACTTAGTGTTCCATTAAATATAACTATATACCAAATTATATTTTTCAAAAAAAACCAACAAAATTAATTAAATACATTAAAAAAAATTGTTAAAATTCAGAAAGATGTTTATAAAAAGTTTGTAAACGGAGGTAAAATTTATGAACTTACCACCCCCCCCCCATATTTTGTAAAGATTGCCTTTTTCCATCAAAATGCCCCTTTTTCACCAGCGCATACCCCCCCCAAAAAAAAAAAATTGTAGAGTGCCAATCTTTTGTTCAAAAGTGCCCTTTTCTAAAAAATTCCATTATAAAAAAAAAGTCGGGCTTGTTTTTTGTGGCATCAGCCGTTACGGGTGCCTTTTTCTTAAATTTCGCGCCGGGTATCGCCCTGAAAATTGTCCGTTAGTGTGCATAGTCGTCGCTTTTGAACAGCGCCCCATCGAGAGATGGTACCCCCCCCCCCCCCCCCCAACAGACACACACCCACGTGTGTTCACCGTCGATCGTGGACGTCCTATTGTCCCTCTTTTGTTTGTACTTTTTAGGAAGACTCCCACATGTTTTGTACAGACCCAAATCGTGGACGTATGCTGGGAATCGTGGACGTTAGATATTATTCTCTTTTGTTCTCTGATATTTTTTGTCCACGCTTTGAAAAGATGAACAGTACACAGCCACACACCCACACTTAGCATATGGGGTTTGTGGGGTACCACTATTGTTTGACCCTTATCCCCTTCTTTTGTTCTCCTTTGTCCAACACATAGCGTTGCCGTTAGGGCTATGGGGTACTTCAATTTCTAAAGACGGACTTGCGGGGTACCATTGTCCCTACTGTTGCCCTTTGTTCCCGGTACCCCATAAGTGCCAATATGTACGAGCACATTGATTTTACAGAGGCCAAGTGTCCGAAGAAAACAACGTGTTTACATTTCAGCACTGATGTGCAAGTGCCTAAGTTTTTTCACTAAAGAAATGTTTACCACCCCCCCCAATAAAAACGACCTTGCTACGCCCCTGATGCGGATTGTTTACTTTGTGCGAGACTGCGGGTAAAAGGACATCTCGCCACGCGGATTGATATGTTACGTAACAGCTTGACTATGGAACGCCAAACGTACCAATTTATGATGTTACCGGGTAAACGTAATTTACTGATGTCGTCAATGCATTATGTGATGTTGTCAATCTATTTTGTGATGTTGTCAATCCATTATGTGATGTAGTTAATGCAGTCAGGCAGCTTCAAATTGAAGCTTTTTCAAAACTAATCGGCTATATTTTCAAATCTGCCATATTTTTCCGTCAAATTACTAATTTTACAAAATTCTGCTTGCTCCTTAAACGAAATCGATCTGCTTAACTTTCTGTTTCACTCGTTTTGGCCCGAAAAATTCTGTCAAATTTAGCCGAAATTCAGCTAAAACGGTCACCCTGGCTCCCGAATTATGTGATGTAGCGAATCTATTATGCGGTGTTATCAATCCATTACGCAGTAACTCCACGTAAATGGGTTGACGACATCACATAATGGACTGACTACATCACATAATGGATTGACTACATCACATAATGGATTGACGACATCACATAATGGATTGACTACATCACATAATGCATTGACTACATCACATAATGAATTGACTACATCACCTAATGGATAGACAACATCACATAATGGATTGACTACATCACCTAATGGATAGACAACATCACATAATGGATTGACTACATCACATAATGGATTGACTACATCACATAATAGATTGACTACATCACGTAATGCATTGACCACATCACATAATGGATTGACTACATCACATAATGGATTGACGACATCACATAATGAATTGACTACATCACATAATAGATTGACTACATCACATAATAGATTGACGACATCATCATATTACGTTTACCTGGTAACATCATAAATTGGTACGTTTGGCGTTCCATACTTGACCGGACCCAAGGCTGAAATGGCCGGTAGCTCCATGGTGTGATGTACATGTACTGCGTGTTAAAAGCACTGGCAAGATTTTGAACGGAAGAGTGACAATTAGTTCATATCTTGAGGTACGTAGTTATAGATTAGGATTCATTAAGTATATTCCATTAAAAGGATTACCATGCAACTCGATCATTTAAAAATGAAATAAAAATCTTTTGGACATGTCAGACGAGTCAGCAAATTTCGATTATACTCGACAGAGTCAACATCGACAATGCTGGCCAGCTAGGACATTGTACAATGCTGAAACACCAGATAGCATTATTGTTTGGACAGGTATGCGATAATTTTCGCACTAAAAAGCAGTACTAGTGGACATAACTTGTACGCATGGCACAAGACGCACAAACGCCTAACTGGCAAAAACCGTAATGTTCTGGGTCACTGCTTTTGCCACCCCTAAACTGAAAAGTGTCTTTCTGAAATGACATCACAGCAACAGCGCCCTTGGATGTCCGTAAAAACGTGAAATTTTCAACGCTTAAAGAGGTACACTTTTCAGTAAAATCAACCAAAAGGAATTTTGAATAGTTTTCATACTATTTAAGAGTAAGAGAAAGTTGCACAAAATTAGTGTCAAGTGTTCCTAAGAAAAATCTTCATCGCATGGACCCTTCAAGGTTTTCCTTGATTTCCAGAGTGGCTGGAAATCCTGAATAAAATTATGTTAATATCAAATTATGTTAATATTAAATTATAACATCATGTTTAAACGACATTCAACTTAGATCGATTCAACATTCTTGAACCACAGTTTTCCTTGTCGTGAAGGGAAATGCATGTGCAGTTAAACCTGCTGCTGTTATGGGCGACCAGCCTCGAATGATTCCAATTGACTTTTAACAGTCTGTTAGAGTGGGTGTCCATACTTTTGGTGGTTTTTTTTTTGGGGGGGGGGGGCTCTCAATAGTTTCCCTTTGTTTTTATGTTTTTATATTCATCCTTTTATTCATGTCGGGATTAAACAACGGTTTTTTTATCTTTGTATTTTGAAATGTAAACAATTAATGCGGCCTGACGTTGCGAACTGAACAAGTTCTTCGTCTGTGTATTTTTACCCTAATTTGTAATCAGGGGTATAGATGAACACATCACATGATGACAGTTTTTATACTTCATTCCTAGACAGCCCGGCTTACATTTTGTATTGTATCTTTTTAACTTGTACATTACCTTTTTCTTCTTCTTAATGTCTACAGATAACAAAGTATAATAATAATGATAAATAAATAAATAGGTAAATAAATAATTGTCAAATATTGATCACGTGATTAAGTAGGACTTTGGTAATTATAAACGATGGTTCTCGCCCACACTCGCTCTGGCTTGATTGGTAATGTGTATGTAACTGGGATTTCAGTAAAGAAGTAGGCCTACTCCAGTAAAGACATTTCGGTTGAAAGGTCAAATGTCACAAAGGTCAAAGTTAAAGACATCATCAGTGCGTTCGATAACTTCCCCCGCGCTTACTCGTGCAAGCGCGACAGCGTTCGATTTACCTTTCACGTGACTTCTCGCGCTTACTCGAGCCTGGTCCAAGTGACCGACTCGCCGAGCCGGTCACTTGTGTAAGTATCCCATAAGGCCATGCAACGTCCGGCGGGCGCCTCATCAGGCCGTATCCGAAACGGGCTTCAACGGAGCATAGAGCTACAAACCCGATGTAGCTCTATGCACGGAGCTATATACGACTACGAATTATTGTCAGCGTATTAGCTGGGCGTGAAGGCCGTGGACGTGCTCTCGGATGCAGCCTGGGAAAAAATGTTGCAACCTGACGCCACTTGCGCAATTGTGTACAAAGTCTATGGAGATTCAAAAATAATTTCCTAACTAAATTGGAAATATTTCTCAGTCCCAGATTCATGTCTTATCGTCATTTTTGCAATGCATGACCTTTATTGAGATGATATATGAAGAAAAAAGTGGCGTCAGTGGCAACATCCCCCCCCCCGGAAAAGCAAAAAAAGGAAGAAAAAAAAGAGAGAACAAAAAGAAAAGAGGCGAGAAGTCATACTTGTGTAAATTTAATGGGGGGGGGCAAAATGTCCCTACCCCCCCCCCTAAAACTGATAAATCGAGAATATGTTGAGAAAAACAGGATTTCTTCTGGAAAACATGTTTTGCCCCCTCTAGAAAAAAATCCTGGCTACGCCCATGTTTCCAACTCTTGCACGAAACTTTACCCGAAACCGTTCGTTTATTTAGCTCCACTGCGCATGTCTGTCATTACGCGAGGAGCCAGGCGCGAGTAAGCTGGGGGGAGTAATCGAACGCACTGCTAGCCTTAGGTTGGAAAAATGTTCCTGCGTATTTACACCCTTACCAGAGACCTAGAGGTCAACCTCGCTCCCATGGTGTCGAGAAGTACGCTTAGACTACCTGCTCTCTCACAGGTACTGGATCATTGGCATGTTAAAAAATCGTGCACATGCAGATTACATAATAGTCTGGTGCCTGGCCATAGATCATCAGCGTTGGTTTCTGTATGCGGTGTCTGTAGTACAACGGATTCAATTTGATACGGCGTGAGATAAAAAAAAAAACATGGAGATATGAAGATATCCAATATGGAGACTCAAACTGAATATTATTAAAAGCAAAATGGCGAAGGGAGGATTAGAGGAGTATTTGACTTATTAATGAACTTTAAATCACATATGCTGGAAATACAATTACAAAGTACACGATAAAACCCATATTTGCTATTGCGATCAGCATACAGAATCAGCATACAGGAACCACGTATCAATCCAGAGGCTTTTGAAACGAGGCTAGAGGTAGCAACACCTTCCACTGAGCATACATAAACCGAACATTTTCAAATTTTCAACTGTTAAAGATTTTCATTATTTTTCAGATTCAGTATGAATTTTTCAGCGGCCAAAAATTACGAAGGAGACGGTAGATTCTTTCAACATTCAATCATAATGCGCAACCTCGACAAGCTTACTTTTCGACCTGAGGATGACGTTATTGACGTTGGTTGTGGTACGGGCGAAGAGACGAAAGCATTAGCGAGGAAAGTTAACAGCGTAACAGGTATAAAGCGAATAAACCAATTAATTAATAAATCACTTTTACGTATTGTGTCCCGGCCACATAATAAACACGACCGAGGTCAATTCAGCACATCATAGTATGGACTATGGTACATTTTTGTAATGTTACACAACACAAAGTGCGAACCCTTGAAAATATTAGAATTATCCTCCGTGGCGGCCTAGAACTTGATACACTATGGTATCCGAACCAATCAGAGTGCTCACCGGGAATTCGCTAGCGATTCCAAATACTCCCATATGTTGTATACAAAATTGAAAACGTATTCGCCAAGTCGGTAATTGAACATCAATAGTCAGCATCATTTGGTCTGGGAACCAGACTACCGCATTGCATGCAGCGATACATATTTTGCGTGCATGGAACCAGTATTACCGTACACAAAACAATTACCGACTTGGCACCAAGCCTAGAAAGTTACCTTCGTGGAGACACTGGCGATTTTGCCTTCTGGTTATGGTAAGGTTTTTTTGATAGGCATGTGTTCAAATGCTATACGCACCGCTGTGAACATCGTTTCCAAAATTGAAAATAATGCTTCGTACGCCGGAGGTGATCACCAATGGCTTTAAATGGGAACTATACCCAACGGTTAGACTGTTTACCCCCCCCCCTATAAAATATGACTGGTATAAATGGAAACATGGTCTCGTTTGTGGAGCTGAGTTGGGGGGGGGGGCTCAAATTACATGTGGCAGCAAATACTTCCAACATCGCGCGTATTATATAGGGTGACATTAGGTGGACTGCTCAGGAAATGATTTCCCGCGTGCTATTTTGGAGTTTCACTTCGACGACAGATTTGATATTTTTTCAATTATTATTTTTCTAAGTTCACTTTTGAATGAGGCAGCGGACAAAAAAATTCCCAAAATCGAATTATTGGCTGTCAGACAATATTAGAAGGGCGGGTTCATTATTTTGTGCGTAAAATGAAATTCCTTTTCAGAGGGTTGCAGACACCCAAAATAGTTTTTCGTTAAAACAAAACATACATAATTGAAAATTCGTCAGGAGAGCATCTTTAAGTTTTCCAATCTAGAACATGTTATAATCTTAAATGAAACGAGCATCCATATCTAGTTCCCACAGTGTCATTTCTCTTTTTTCAAAAATTAATTCCCAGATATCACAGTTAAAATATCATTCCAAATGATGACCTTCTCCAAAATTCCATTGTGTGAATGCTTTTTAAAATTCATTGACGATCTGTCATCTACTATTGAATATTTTTAACACAGGCATTGACACTTCAGAGGAGATGCTAGCCGTCGCTCATGCCAACAACTCGGCACCCAATATAACTTACAATTGGGGAGACGCACGGACCATTGGAGACAACCCGGACTATCTGGGAAGATTCGACAAGGCTGTCAGCTTCTTCGTTCTTCACTGGTGCCCGGACCACGCTAAAGCACTCAGGAGCATCTTGGCTTGTCTCAAGCCGGGAGGGGAGGGGCTGCTAATCGCGGGTAAACCAACAACGTTTGTAAAGGAGGCACATGATTTTCTAAGCAGTCACGCCAAGTGGGGTAAATACATGCAGGTGAGCCATTTCACTGACATGACATTCCCCTGACGTACGCCTGGTAACCATAATAACAACCTCGTCCCAAGGGTGTCGAGCACTACGTGCCCACCACTACCTGCTCTTTCACCCTGGTGTTGGATCATTTGCATGTGCAAGATTTTTGAACACGTATGCAAATGAGGAATACATGTAGTCTGGCGCATGCATGTACGTTACATTAGCGTTTGTTTTTGTATGCGGTGTCTGAGGTAAAAACAGTATCAAATTGCCCCTGCCAATATGCAGTATCACATTTCATATTACTGTATGAGCAAACTGGAAAGAAAATGAGTATTATTGAGATGGCGTGGACGTTATAATTACAGTGATCGTGAAAACACCTATTGCACGTTGAAAATAACACCACCAACTACACGACATATATCCATTACTAGCAAATTGCGGTATCGAATCAGGATAGGCCTACAGGAAGAAAGTTTCCTATCCAGAGCTTACTATTGGAAACGAGGTTGGAAATAAAGTAAGCACTGGGGACAAGGTTGCCATAATATTCGCTCGGTCCCCCCCCCCCCCCCCCCCGCCCTGCAAACAGGACGCTGGGATACTCTGATGAATTCACGCTCTGATTGGTTGGATTTTGCGTGACCAGTGACCTGCGCGTCATCAAGGTCATGACTCTGCAAGGTTTGAAACGGCCGTTAATACTGATTCATTACTCTTTTATTCCATTTTAGACATGTTTTTTTTTTTCGTTGAAAAGCGTAATAATGTAGGAAATTCTGTAAATTCTGTGTTGTAAATTTACAATTCCCGTCACTCGCTCAGGCTCCGTTTCGAATCACGAACGGTCGGATTGCATTGTGCGACGCTCAAAATTTTGTCCACATGGTCCGCAATGAAACAGAAATCACATCCGGTATGGAATGCGCGCAATTCTATAGGAAGTTTTCGGATAGCATTTGTGCACATTGTCTAACTGCGGTCTTGAACAGCTGCAGCCAGATGCTTAATACATAGGTCAGAGGCCACTTCCTTCACAAGATTCTGTGAAGCTCATCAGAGTATCCCAGCGTCCTGTTTGCAGGGCGGGGGCGGAGGGGGGTACGAGCGAAGCCATAATAGAACATGACGCTCAGCATGCCCTCTTCCGGCCTGGGAGCATACCTGAGGCAAAAAGCCAGGCTGGCTATACGCCAGGCACTACATGTTCCAACTGCTCGGACATTGTTCAGTTACAATCCATTGATTTGAATAACCGCAGTTCCTACTATGTACAGAATCGTATCCCAGAAATAGAAATGACCGCAAAATGTAAATGAAAATCGTATTTAAAACCAAGTTCCCGGTTTTGACAATTTGACATATTTTTCCAGGACTACAAGAGTCCATTCAACTTCTGGAACCAGTCCGTGTCAGAGACTGAAGAGCTGCTTGAGAGTTGTGGTTGGATCAACACGTGGTCTGAGATACAATACTTCCTGCCAGAAACAGAGCTGCGAACAAAAAGTAATTCCTATTAGGAGGAAATTCCTCAACCTCCGTCCCACGTTCCACTTAGTTTCAACCCCGGTCTTCATAGTAGACATTAGGAGAGTAGGTGGTTCCTTTGTTCAGAATGGTTTTTGCAATACGCAATGGGTTTATGTCTTTTGATTTCAATGATCATTATAAGCCTATAGGCCTATAATGTCAGTTAAAGTTCACTGGGAACACATTAATTACCATCCTAGATCCTTACAAACTGTTTTCCCTTTCTCATTTGAACATTGACCTATAGTGAAGGTAACACTATGTAGAAATCTCTTTTGGGAAGATGTGTGGTTCTGAAAAGAACCGGTCGGTTGTAAAACTCGACGTTCTGATCAGTATGCTCTGACAAGAGATCGTTGTCATTCTTAGCGTAATGACTGGATATCGAATGGGTGTTATTTTACTTTGTAGGCCTAACTGTGTGACATCATTTTGTTTTTCCCGATCCGACTTCAATAGGAAGCACTTTGTTCTAGTACATAATAGTACATAACGTCATATTACATGTATATTAAATATTAAATGTGTCTTACGAGGGTTCTCGTCTAACAACAATAACTCTTTTATTAATCCGAAACCAAAAATAACATTTTCTCTGTTTTTTTTTGCTCCTAGTATTTTTGAAGACAATTTGGGCAACATCATCGCAAATACCGGAGTCGGATCAGGAGGCGTATCTAGAGGATTTCTGGCAGTGGGCGTTGTCTCGATACCCGGATGAGTCTCGACCAGGATATGTCTTCTTTCCGATCGATCTGATGGTCATACACGCTTCTAAGCCACTCTAAAGTCGCCGAATGTCTGCGATGCTCTCTGTATTGTTATTGTTGTCTGGGAGTGTCTGTGATGTGTTTATAATATTTGCCATTGCGAAAGAAACAATGTCAAACAAAAGGTGTACACTACACTACACTTTATCTCAAACAGGGCTACAGCAAATGTATTCTTGATGAACAAGGATAATAACATTATTGTTCACATATATATACATGTATTGCCAATTTGAATATACAACATTATGTATCGTTCTTTATGCAGCATCGAAATAAATGTATGTATCAATCAACATGGTGCTTTAATGGAATGCCAGACTTAGAATGTGTAACCAATGATAGATTTATAGGAAAGGTATGAAAGATACGCCTTTCCACTTTAAAACAAGACAAGGAACGTCTACATCTGATAATGTTTGACAGAGATATGGGTAATTATCCAATAGAGGTCAAATTGACCTTGGGACCACGTTTTCGTTTCGTTTCGTTTTTTTTTTGTTATTTAATATGTTTTGTTATTTTATTTTATTGATTTAATTTTTTTTTTATTTTTTTATTTTTTATTGTCTACTTATTTATTTATTGATTTGTTCGATAGTTTGTTTGTTTACTTCTTTATTGGTTCTTTTTTGTTTTCCTTTATGTTCATGTATGTTGTTTTGGATCATATTTGTTTGTAAGATTTGTCCTGGTCGAATAAATAATAATAATAATAATAATTTCAATTTAAGGCATTGAGACAAAGGTAGCCTTATTTCCTCTGTGTGGATATTTGCCTGGCCCGGGCCTACAAAAATGTGTTTAGCGACATAAGCACAATTCTAAAAAAAAATCTTGCTATCAGTTTGTAAACATGTTTAGCGCCCCCATTGAAAGTATGGTATGAGCCCCCCCCCCCCCCTCCCCCATTGATTTTACGGAACCAAGTGTCTGCATTTCAGCATTGATTTGTTGATGACTTTGGTCTGACCAGAGACCGAATGTTTTTTTTTTTGGCCTTCTTGAACATCTTTTTTTAAGGGCACTCTCTGTCCATGAAAGTTCCATTGTCTGGTTCCCATTGTACAGCTGCAAACGCAAAATGACGTCGAAGGAGGATATTTCCACCGCGAAATCATTACAGCTTTTACGGGATCAAAGACAGCCCGTTTACTAAAATAATAATAAAACGGCACACCGTTTAAAGTGAATGGCGCCCCCAATTGCCAATCAGTATACTTGTCTCTGTGGTTCTCCTTTCGTGGGAGGGGTAGGGTCTCAAGAAATCATCCTACATGCGTGTAGTTTTTAATACAGGGAAAATCTCCGAATTTATTAGAGTATGTTTTGGTAAAAAACGTCAGTGACGTCGAAGCAACACCCAAATGGATTTTGAGTGCTCGCTACGCGCGCGTATTTTACGGAACCGAGTGATTTTCGTTTTCACGAAGTAAGCCGGGAACAAGCGAAGAGGTAATTTTGCAATATTTTTAGTTCTATTTCTTTAAAATTTTGTTTTCTTTCTCAGGAACAAACTTGGAAGCTTTGTTATTTTTCTTTTTTCGCTGTAATGCATGTAAGCAACAAAAGTCCAAAATTCTTGTCTAAATTTACCTTTTACTTATGATTGTTGTTTAATTACTATATCACTATTGAAAAATGGAACTCATTGATTTGATTGTCTTTCTTTGTTAAATCTCTTTTCTCGAAAGGTCCTGCTTAATTCAGCGAACTTATAACTGCTCGATTTACATGATCTCGTCCAATTACAATTGTAGTTTGTGCCAATGACCTTATTTCTCTACGAATTCTGGATTCGGAACCCACCCCCACCCCCCAAAAATGGCAATTAAATGATTGAACTGAAGTCCATGCATGTAGGCCCTATGTACAAGGACCCCCGGAATATACGAATAATTTACTGAGCTGCAATAGGCCTACTGGGCAAACGTTTGTATATCCCCTCAATGGTTTAGGCGATTGGTGGATAATAATGAATGTAGAAAAAGAAAATCCAAATTCTTATTTAAAAAACAATAAAATAGTTATAACCTATAGTTTTACTGTTTTACACGGTAACTTCTCGGCAAGGTAAAATCCTAATTCAGTAATATATCAACAGGACTAAAGCCATTTGTTGTGATCAGTCGTGTTTCCCGACGTTTCCTGCGCGATGTGAAAGGATGTGCTGACGGGCAACAGACGCTGAGCATGTCAACGTTCAAAAGGATAGTTCACGCGTAAATGCGTTACGAACAAAAACAGTCAAGAAAAGGCGAGTAAAACCAGTTTCCACTCCCCAGGGTAAAATTAGATTCTTCGGTATGTTATCCAGTGATTTTTTCTTCGTGTGATAGTGTTAAAGTGATATTGCAATTGATTCCTGGTCAGGGCCTGTTTTGTCTTAAATTGACCGTAGGCCTATATCATGGCGATTATTAGCAGTAGGCCTTGGCAGGATAGTAGAGCGTATACCGCAAACATAGCTATCTCATTCTAAACGAATGCCATGGCATGGGGGTAGTACACACTTGCAACAGGGCAACTTTACGGGTGAGTAACTATAACAGCATTTCCCGTCTAAAATGGCACATGGCTGCCACTTGCCAACATAACTTGCGGCCTGGATGATGTTGATGATGCTCAAACTGAAGTCTAGCTGGAAGTTCGCCACAGATCGTAGCCCCGTATAACAAAAAATGTGACTCATCACCGCTGACACAGCAATCATACGCAAAAACAAAATCCTGAAAATGTGTATTTCCTGATGTTAAAATCTGGACTGTTTTTTTCCCACCTGATATTCACTATATCTCTAGATATCCTGTATAAATTTTCAGAATTTGCACTGAGACTGTGTCACAATGACTGCAGCCTCGAGGTCGATCACTGGCCGGGCCGTATGCATGCACCTATGAGAAGTACACGTGTAGCTTCCATGGCGAAAATCGATTGCAAGTCGAGGTTTCATATTCAGGAAACCCGCATTCCATAAATTGATGCGAGAAAGATACATGTACACTGTACACTGTACGTTTCCGGTGAATGTACATGAACATGCATGTACATGTACATGGTGTAGACCTAACAGTAAATTACAATTGCATTACGAATGCGCTACAGTGACACTTGACCTCCGCATTGGCTGGCGGTGGCACTGGGTAAATAAATCTATAGGGTGCGGGTGACGTGAATGGTACAGTACAGGGTGAGTAAAAAAAAAAACGAAACCCAAATGTTGAGACAATTGTTTTAGGGAATTTCTGCATGTACCATTTTCAAACTCTAGGATATGAAAGCCCAATTCATAAGCTTTCTTTTAGTACAAATCATTCAAACTACTCATGTACCTTTTGAGTTACGGGATTTTAAACACAACCACCGTTTTAAAGTTCTGTCCACGGATCGTAAAAAAGTTCAGTGTTCTTTCAGCAAAACGCCGAAAGAGCGCGAACTTTTTTGATGATCTGTGGACCGTAACCTTAAAACGGTGGTTGTGTTTAAAATTCTGTAACTTGAAAAGTACATGAGTGATTTGAATGATTCTTGTACTAAAAAAAAAGCTCATGAATTGGGAGTTCATATCCCAGATTTTGAAAGTGATACATGCAGAACTTCAATAAAACAATAGTCCCGACATTTGGGTGGTTTTTTTTACTCACCCTGTATTATAACGATTTTCGATGCATAACGTGAACAGCTGGTCCTGGTAGGCATTAAATTATGAGAAAGTACGTTGATTTCGTGACGATTTATTAAAAGCAATTCATAAATATCTAAGACAGTTTACCCACTCCCTATTGAACAGCCTTCGACCGGCTGGCTGGTCTTATATACCTTTGCAGTGTCCCATGTATATGAATTAAATCCGGTGTCTTTGACTGTTTTATTGGTTGAAATTCACAATCCCCACTTAGGCTGGCATGCGCAATACTAGTGCCAGTGAGTCAGTATTTTAAAGTCCTAAATTCACAATAGACCGCTTGCAGACGCGATCGATAATTGACGCGCGAAGGTGCGCGACGCCATGTTGTGGGACAAAATGTGCATGGATAGATATACGCTTGTCCCACAACATGGCGTCGCGCGCCTTCGCGCGTCAGTTATCGAATGCATCTGCAAGCAGTCTATAAACCGTCACAGCTGCATTGTGCGCCACTCGCGCACTACGCGCGACGCGCGCGCCAATCTCCATAAAGAGTTGTTTACGACCCTCGCAAAACTGGACATACCATATTATAGCTAGAGGGGTGTATCGAAAAAAACGAGATAAAATTGTTGAACAAAATCATAGGAAAGTTATAATTTTTTGGCTAAGTTTGACTTTTGGACCGAAAAGTTTCAATTGTTTTGACCGAAAATTTATTAATGGAAATAGAAATGTGCTTGGCCGGTATTAAACACTTTGTTTTAAGACTGGTTGAATCTGGAATGCTGATAATTACCCTCACCTTTGGCTCGGGCAAATATCAGCATCCAACCGGTCTTAAACAGAGTGTTTAAAACCGGCCAAACACATGATTTATTCCCTTATTAAATCATTTTTAGCTTTCATAATTTTCAGAGACAAACAGCCAAATACACTGAACAAAATAATCTGCGGCCCTGTTCCATAATGTTTTGTCCCAGCAAAGCCGAGGCTTACTCTGCGCAGTTTCAGGATGTTCAGTCAAGGATTACAACTTCCACAGAGTGTATTGTAACTCGCATAATTCTTTTTTTTTCAATTGGAAAGGTTTCAATATTTTCAGTTTCAGTATGAACTTTTCAGCGAGCAAAGATTACCAGAGTGACGGTAGATACTATCAGCATGCAGTCATAGTGCGCAACCTCGACAAGCTTACTTTTCGACCCGAGGATGTCATTATAGACGTTGGTTGTGGTACGGGCGAAGAGACGAAAGCATTAGCGAGAAAAGTTCACAGCGTAACAGGTAAATTTGGGCAAGTAAAATCAACAGGCAATAAACAAGTGCCCTTTAACAAGTGCCCTTTTTGTGCAGTTATGGGTGCCTATTTTTTAATTTCGCACATGCATCTCCCTGAAAAGCACCATTGTCCGTTAATGTGCATAATCGTCGGTTTTGAACAACACCCCATCCAGCCCCAAAACCCCTATTCAATTTTACGGAAGGCCAAGTGATATCAGCATGGATGGGCAAATGCCCTTTTCAAGAAATTTTACCCCCCCCCCCCCAATAAAAATGACCTTGCTACACCCTGCAGTGTGGCGAAGGGAAAACATTTTTTTTTTCATGTACGGTAATTATCGGAGGCGACGGATGGGATCCGTTCCTAGACGTACCGCGTCCGCATCCTGTGTGGCCAGCGCTTCACGCTGTGATCTCTGCAACGGTTAAAAAAGTACCCGGTGATAAGGTGATCCGGTGATCGGTGATGTGGCAGAATCGGAAAGGACATGTTTTTTCTGTTTTATTCAAAGATACAATCAACAATTAAATAACAATAATCTATGTACATGTACAGTTAGGCCTAATCGTCTGCTCTATAGGTACTACTGAATTACACAAAACAACAATTCTAACAAAACAGTTTACTCGACATGACGCAGCTGGAGTTCCTGCTCAAAAGGATGATAAGGTTGGAATACTGGCCAAATTTAAAACGACTCACTGTTTGTTTACCCATATTAATTAGAGTATTCAGAAACCGATAACTATTGTATGTTTCCCCTACCCGAAAAGAATATTTTCCACGGACAGACTGAATGATTTGCCATACTTAGATGCAGCAATCTTTTCGATTTCGTTCCAAAGGGGTTTTACACATTTTACACAGAAAAAGTGTTCAGTGTAATCAATACAAAGACCATGTGCATGCAGCGGGATTAATAAGGTTCCAGATACCTTGATCATGCTGCCACCATTTCAGTCATGTTTCTGTATCTTATAACAGTAGGCCTACTGAATGATAATGTGCTTTGTGTGCGTGCAAAAAGGAACCAGACTATTTTTGCTTGTCGGCCACTTCGCCCATGCCACTTCGCCCCTAACTACTTCGCCCCATTCCCACTTCGCCCCATGCCACTTCGCCCCTAACTACTTCGCCCCATTCCCACTTCGCCCTATGCCACTTCGCCCCATTCCCACTTCGCCCCATTCCCACCCCATCCCCACTTCGCCCCATCCCCCCTTCGCCCCATCCCCACTTCGCTCACGTCTAAATTGTAGGTCAGGCAGCCTCCGTTGCTAAAATAAACATGACGACATTGATGGCCCTTTTCCAAAGCTTGGCTTCGTTTCCGATTTCGCTTTGTCACTTAAAGCTATTAATGTTCTGATCAAATTTTTAAATAAATCACTTGTTTCGTAATATCATACAGTTATGATACAATGCGCCCTGAAAATGGGCACATTGTGCGTAGTCCGCATAATGGCCGGCCGGTTTTGCAGAGCGCCCCCTATTTCAATGGAAAATGGTACCACCCCCCCCCCCACCCGCCCCACCAGCCCCACCCGCCCCACCAGCCCCACCCCACTCACCCCACTCACCCCACTCACCCCACTGTTACATTTTACGGAGGCAAAGTGTCCGGTGAAAACGTGTCGACATTATCACGGCTGTGCAAGTGCCCCTTTGGTGATTGCCACCCCCCCCCCCCCCCCCCACACACACCCCACCCCCACCTCAGTTTGAAAACCGTTCCGCCGTTGTGATAATAATCTATAGGCTTGCGTAGTCTTGTTTCTCGATGACCACATTAATGTGATAGGCCTATATTTCTTGTCCAATATAGCCATTGACTCGTCAGAGGAGATGTTAGCCATCGCTTGTGCAAACAGCCAAGCCCCTAATTTAAGTTACACTTTGGGAGACGCGCAGACCATCGGAGACAACCCGGACTATCAGGGAAGATTCGACAAGGCTGTTAGCTTCTTCGTTCTTCACTGGTGCCCGGACCAAGCTAAGGCACTCAGGAGCATCTTGGCTTGTCTCAAGCCGGGAGGGGAGGGGCTGTTCATCATAGTTAACCAAACACCGTTCGTAAACGATGCAGACACGTTCGTAAAAAGTCACGCCAGGTGGGGTGATTACGCGAAGGTAATTGACAGACTGCTGGACAGTTGTCTTTTTGTGTGAGATTTTAGCCACAAAAAGGTATGTTCTGAGCCAATATGGTTCATCAGGCCGGCATTTATCTCTGGTTTCCGTGGCATAAAACGACTGGGAATGCAGCAGATAATGGGGATGCCAGTCCATCGCCGGTTTCTCCCCAGCTAGTTCCAGTACCCATTTATACTCCTGGTGGAGAGAGGTAGGTCTTTGAAAACGAAAATTCCACAACTGTTCATAGTAAAGTTAAAGAGATACAGTCCACAAAGTTGTAGTCTTAAAAGTTTTCATGCACCTTTTTTTCAAAATACTCAATCTTAATTGTAAATTCGCATCTTCATCAGGTACTAAATGATAATTGACATCAATGGGTGCTCATGATTAAAAGGAAAACTCCGATAAGTTGTCTCTCGCTCCTTGATGATGAGAACATGTGTTGGGATCGAATCCCCTCACACACAAAAAGGACGGCAAATATGAATATAATTATCTCCCAACAGCTGTATGGAATTGAATTTTTCATATTTTTGTGATTTTTCTTTTCCCCCCCAGGACTTCAAGACTTCTTATTGCTTCTGGAATCGGTCTGTTGCAGAGACACAGGAGTTTTTTGCGACGTGCGGTTGGACAAACGCAAGTTGCGAGATACAGCACCACTTACCAGAAACAGAACTGCGAACGAAACGTAAGCAGCGAACTGGGCCCAATTTCATGGCTCTGTATGCTAACTACAGAAAATCTGCGCTTGTGAACCGATCATCATCTGTATAGCGCAGACATTAATTACTAATTACTGTAGGGATAATACGCATTCGTGCTAACTTGTGGAATTTGGTAGCTGCTAGCACCTTTGACTTTCAGGTCTCACTACTGTGTTCAAATCCCACCGTGAATGGATACAAGCCTTCTAGACTGACCTTACAATATTCCCCGAAGTCTATAAAAAATTGTTCCGTTTCATCTTAAGTGGGGTCAGGGAACCAGACTACAAGAACATGGTTGGTTTTCTTGGATTTTCCAGCATCTCCGAATCCAAAACGTGAAGCAAGTCAGTTCAACAATATTTTCTATAACATACTAATTCTCCAAATCCATTTATTTCTGAAAATTGCAGCAAAAGCAAATGTTGAACATTCCCTTTAAACGTCTCCAGTCACATGTGTGACCCGGGACGTGGATTTTTTTTTTTCACCCAACCCTTTAAAAGTTGGGTCAAAAGTATAATCCGGATCAACTAACTATAACTGAGCGCATAATCAGAATGTATCTGTTTTCTTCTTTAGTGTCCATGAAGACTGTATTGGGGATCTCGGAGCGGATACCGGAGTCAGAGGTGGATGCTTATTTAGAAGATCTCTGGCAGTGGACTCTGTCCCGATACCCGGATGAGACTGGACCAGGTTATGTCTTCCTTCCGATAGAGCTGATGGTGGCACACGCTTGTAAGCCGCTCTAAGGTCTGCGATTGTCTGCAACGTGTCTCTGCTGGGGAATGTCTGCGATTTGATTTGATTTGATTTGATTTTATACTTTTTCTTTTTTCATTCACGGTCTACACGTTGTACGGATTAGGTGAAGGTGAATATAACAAATGGAATTTGGGTAAAACTGTTCTAGTCAAAAAATTAAATTTCATTGCAATGCAAATATTTTTACAGAGTGGTTAATGGTTTTCCCCGCGTTGGGAATATATATTTTAATATTTGGTTTTGGCCTTCACTGACGTAACTTTTTTACTAAGGGCCCATGTAGGCCTACACTTAGTTGAATGTTGACAACAAACAGGGTGACCGTAGGGTCAGAGCCAAATTCTGCTAAATGCACATCAAAAATCTGTCAAATTTCCCAGAATTACTCGAAATACACTATAAACACTTAAAATCACATGCAGAATGGTAGTATTGCCTTAATTAAGATTCAAGTCACATAAAGATGATGTGAAATTATTGGTAAATTTCGGGCAAAACGCGGATCCGGCCACGACGAAGTCCGTTTTCCAGTGAACCTGTCCCATTATGCAAGGGGTTGTTTGAAAGGATTGAAGCATTTTTAAAACAAACACTGTTTTTCTGTCAAATAACAGTTTTTGCAGAATTCTGCCAGAAATTTGCCCCAAAAATTCCTTTCTGTCGGGTTTTCTATCAAACTCGTTTTTTTTAAACAAAAATTCTGTCTAAGTTAGCCGAAAATCGGCTAAACAGTCACCCTGACAACAAAGCGTATCGTTACCACCAATGCTTTGGTCTGTGTTGTTGATATAGAGAATTACATTTATATACATTTGCTTGCCATTTTGTTCTAACAAAATTTTTGTTATGTTTTTATTTTTGTTCATTTACTTCTCATGTATAATTTTTTTATGTAATTTTCAATTCTCAGTTTTTGTTTACTTTATGATATATACATGTATTTGCTTTGTCATTGTACTTTGTCATTTGTTGGCCGAATAAATAATAATAATTTGCTTATTATGCCTAGTACCCATTCCCGAGCAACAAAGATCAAAGATCAAAGGATATAGTCTTTAGAGAGGAAACATTGTTTTCCCGGCGTTATATAAACACAAATTGGGAAAACCCTAGCCGTTATTTTTAAACGGATACTATGAAACGAGTGGTACTTCCCAGCCCTTTACACAATAGGAGTCCTTGTTGATGGAGGCTGCGCTGCATCCGCTCGCCGCCTTTGTAGTATGGCAGATATAGGTGATGAGATTGTGCCTTTGATGATACAAGCATTGCATTTGGCACACAGTCAGAGTATGTCATGAGAAAGAACTTTGGCTGTAGGGCCATCGCAGATGTGTTCTTTGAAAAAAATACTAGGGGTGGAATAACAAGGACAAATCTGCGATGGCACTATAGCCAAATATCTTTCTGAAGACATACTCTGACTGTGTGCCAATTCACCCCCATGCTTGTATCATTGATGACATCCCCAGATATTTCCCCTATCTACCCCTCTACTGACTGCTCCATACACTGACGAAGAACGGAAACGACTCTAGAGCATTCAAAGATAAGCTGCTAGAAGGTGCTTCAACAATTTCACCAGAAACTCCAGTGTTGCTGCCATGATATGAGCTTGGATGGCCACTCCTTGAGTCCCGAAGACTGGCGACACGTCTCATCATGCTCGACAAAATTGTTCACGGGTTGGCTGACATTGAAGCTGGGCACTGTCTTACCTCACTAACAAGAACACACAGGAGGTCTCACCAATTCTCATACCACCGACTTCAAGCCAAAAGCAAGATCTACAGCACCATGCAGCTTTTATCCATCCACCACCCCACACTGGAATAACCTGCGTCCCACGTCATCAGTGCTAAAAGTTTGGATACATTCAAAAATGCCCTCACTGATCTCTCGTGCAACATCAACCTCCTACCTTAGCCCCTCTAGCCCCGCTAGCGGGATGCGGCTGTAGCCGTTTTGCTGGAGGAAATCTAAACAGACACAGATACACTATTGAGCACATAAACATCTTCGACGTTACGGTAAGCATTTCTTCTTATGTTGGATAGCTACTCATGGAATAGTAAAGATGTATTCGAATCTTGGTATGAGATGACTGTACACTCACGAGGCTCCTTCAGTGGAGGAAACTATTCTGCACACTATTGTACAAAGCAACTGCCTCGTGACGGATTATCTGAACAATAGCTAGCGCAATGTTTTCGCCATTGAAGGGGGCCTTCGTGATAAAATTGTTAGCGTGCTCGGATTTGTGGGACAGGAAATGAAACATGGTTTTTGTGTTTCTCATTGACGTCGAAACTATAGGGCTGTGCATTCGAATAATTTAGTATTTGATTATTCCAACTTGGACTTGATCCAACATTCCAATATTCCATTTTAGTTGATCAAGTTCAATATGTACGTGCCAGCTTAAAGGGAATATACATCATTTGCTTTTGCTGTAATTTTCAGAAATGGATGGGATTGGGGGGTTGGAAATATAAAGCAAATATAGTTACACTGACTTTTTGGAGGTTTTGGGTTCGAAAATGCTATAAAAACCAAGAAAAACGATCATTTTCCTGTAGTCTGGTTCCCTGACTCCATATAAGAAGAAACAGAGCAGTTTACATACATTGGGGAATTGTAAGGTCAGGGAACCAGTCTAGCTGGCTCGTACCCGTTCATAGGTTTGTAATCGATTGCAAACAAGTGCGATGGTCAATTGGGGCCAGTATTTGAAAAAAAGCCAGTTATTTCCAACGCTGATCGGCCGATCAGCGTTGGAAATTGATACAAAAATACCACTTTTCTTGAAAATGACAGTATACCAGGTGCCATAATTTTACAGGATGCTTTAGACTGTCATTTACCAACATCCTATTAAGGTATTTCGCAAAAACTTGGTAGTTTTATTTTTCGATGTTTGCAAATGTTGTATATTCCCTTTAATTTATCCGCCAATCGGGATTTGTGTGCTCTGCGCCTGTCGAAAAATTAATTGTCAGAGAGCTTTTTAAAATAATAACGGAATAGCTGATAATAATTGAATAATTGATCGATTTTAAAGAATACTCTCGTAGAAGCTATCAAATCATGTACGAAAATAAAATGGTTTTCAAAGAAAGTGTGGTATTTGACAAGCAATAAAACCACGGAAATTATACGATTGCACTTAATTTCGTGGACGTTTTTCATAGTCTCCTCGAGACCACTCACATTTTTTTTCGAATACAATGTATTTGAAACAAAAATAAAAATCTATTGAGATACTCGGTTGATGATCGAATATTCGGTATAGTGGGCACAACCAACGAAACCTCTTGGTATACATCAGTGGCGTAGTCAGGAATTTTCCGGGGGGGGGGGGGGGGGGGGCTGGAACATTTCATGGGGGGCGTCATGTAGATTAATGATAATTTTTTTAAAAAACTCAAAATCTCAGTCGGGGGGGGGCGACAAGGTTTCATGTCGCCCCCCCCCCCCCCCCCCCCCCCCCCCACGGCCCCCGTGGCTACGCCACTGATATACATGTAACAAAGTTCAATCGGCAAGTATTTGCAATGCAAATAGTTTATGTACATTGTGCATATAACCCATGTTATGTGGCCAGTGGGTAAAACTGTTCTGGTTAAAAATAAATAATTGCATGCAATGTTAATGTTTTTAAAGAGTGATTAATGGTAATTGTGTCGGGGATATAATATTTGGTTTTGGCCTTCAGTGACGTAACTTTTATGAGTTGTGTACTTAGTTGAGCGTTGACAACACAGTGAATCATTACCACCAATGCTTACAAATACATGTATTGAGGGAAAAAAATTCATTATTCCAAATATTTGTTTGTTACGCCAATTACTGTTCCCAAGCAACAACGATCAAAGATCACGGGAAAACAAACTGATGTTTCCCGTGCGTTAGGCCTTTATAAACATTGGGAATACCCAAGCCGATATTTTAACCGGATAGTGCAATATAAGTTGATTGGTATTACCGGCCTTAACATAATTCCGAGGAGTCCTTGTTGATTGCAGTAGTGCACCGCCTTTGATCTTCGGCGTTACGGTAAGCATTTTTTCCCGGTGGGCCTGGATAGTCAGGCATGTAATATGGGCACGACCTGATCAAAGCCAGCACAATGCTTCCTAGCCTCCGTGGAAGGGGTTTCGTGATAGAGTTGTATAGCGTGCTCGGATTTATCTTAAGTTTAATAGATCGCCGTGGGCGCGGGGCAGGACAAAACATGGTTAGTTTGTTTGGCAATGACACCGAAACCAATAAGGATATGCATATTAGAATAATAATGGAGGCGTTCGATTTCAGTTGATCAAGTTTAAAAATGTCCCAGCCGAAACTGTCTGCTGAGCGGGAATTGCGTACTCCTGCGCTTGTCGAAAATTTACAAAGAGCTTTTTAAAGTAACAGGTACATAGGCAGAGGAATGGCTGATATTTAGTCGATTTTAAAAGAATAAATTTGAGCTAATACTTCAGAAGTTCAGCACGAAAGTGGCTTTCAACAAATTGTGTGGTACTTGACAAGCAATTAAATCACGGAAATTATACGATTAATACTGTGGACTCTCCTCGAAATCGCTCCCATTCTTATTATAATTATTTGAATCGAAATAAATGGTATTTGGATATCCGATTGATGAGCGATTATTCGGCATATTCGGCACAGCCCTGTATCGGAACCTCTGGTTAATGGCGGTGTAGCATGAATTTAGGTTTTCTGAAATACGGACTCATTTGTGGTATTGCGCACGCTCATACATAGATAATTAGGAGAGGGACCGGTCACGTGAGAGGGTTTAACCAATAAAAGGGGAAAAGAGTCCGATTTTCATACGAGTCCGATTTTTTCATATGACTGCGGCAAGTGTTTGCAATGCAAAAATTAAATTGATTAAACAGAATATATACATGTACATGTATTTGGAAATCGATATCGCGGATTTCTCCAGTAGCATTTCTTCATAAAAAGGTGGGTGTCTTACATGTAGCAACTAAATCATTCTTTGTATTACCCCAAAATACGTTTGTATTTGACAGCGCACCGTATACCTTAAAAAATCCCCTCCGAAATTCTTCTCTACCCTGGAACTATGGTTGCTGTTAAAATTGTGCCATTAAAAATGTCCAAGTGTAATTACACGTTGGTTAGTCAACTAGCCTACTTAACTTCGCCAGTGTAGAATTGTAACACCCCCCCCCCCCATCACCACCACCACCACCAGCACCCTCCAACTTGGCGAGGGATCTACTTTCACTGTTCAATTCATGGGCACATTGCTATGACAGAAATTCCCGGAAATTATTGCATACGCAAACATTTTCCCCGGACGTTTCCGGACTCACACAGCCACAAACGGGTCGTAACCTGTCGTCGCAATTGGAATTCCCGACGAAGCCGTTGAATGGTAAATCAGTGTAGTTTATTTCAAAGTAGTTTTAAGATCTTGTCAACCTTAAAAGGGGTAATAATATTGAAAGAAACCGAACAGTGAAACCGAATTCTATTTGAGTCGATTTACAATGAGTAAAGTTAGTGGGTAAAGCTATGGCCGAATGCCCGCGAGATAGTTGTCCTCGCCGAAAGTGCGTTTTCGTTCCGAACACACTGACACGGGATCCTCTATAATTTTGCCACTTTTTTATATTCCAGTGAGGATTAATTGGTCTGCGAGAACGACCTATAACAACATCAACATTTTGTGGGTTGGTTTGTAGAAAGTACCCCCCTGTAAAGTTTTGGTCATCATATTGACAACGAAATGGAAAACCAAGATGGCGTCTCTGGGTTCGCCTGGTGCGAAACAAATGTAGAGGGATTTATGTCAATCTGGCAATGCATCAGTCATTTTCCATTATTTACATACGTTAATTTTCAATTGCATGTACCACCCCAACCGAGGCTCTTAGTACTGCACAATTATTATAGGACATGGGTACCTCATGTTTCGAAAGTTTATAATCTTCACTACATGTATACCGACGAGAGAACTAAGAATAGGAATTTATATAAATAAGGTTGTTCATCATTGGCTATTTATCTAGCCTTCCGCCTGGCTGTATTGATGTAATGTTATAAAAACAAACGGGTCAGATAAAAAAAAACGGCCGATTGTTTTGGTTTTTTTTGTTGTTGTTTTTTGTACAGATATGGACAGTGCAACAGAATCCCATATTACAACAAAACAGATTCCAGTTTGTTGCCAACATATCTGTTTACTGGGAGTCCTCAATCATCAAGAGTTTACAGAGAGTGGGAAACAATAATTAGATTGAGTAAACGAGGTGAAAAGGGGGAAATACAATCGTGGGGAAGTTCCGTCTGGAAAACCCGGGAACTGATGGGGCAGACGGGAATAACCTAAAATCAGGTCGTTGTTGATTTATTGTTTTGGGGTTTTTTTGGAGATTGATTTCAATAATGTTATCAGCCTCCCAAGGGGGCTGTTTGTTTTGTACCGACCAACAAGGGGAATACCAATGTCCACTCGTGTCGTGTTTTTGACTCACGGGTCACATAAGAAAACGACCGATTTATGTTATCTATTTATTTGGGGGGGGGGGTAAAGATATGATGCAACATAATTATTCCAATTGTGGGACAACATCTGTTTACTTGGAGTCCCAGTCATACGCAAGTGCTTACAGAGTGGACGACAACAATTAAATTGGGTAAACGCAATGAAAAGGCGGAAATACACTTGAAGGAAACAGGGGAAGTTCCGGCTGGGAAACCCTGGGAACGGTTTGGGCAGACGGGAATAACCTAAAAAGAAATTGGGTTCTTTTTTTCTGGAGATTGATTTCAATAAAATGTAAGCCCTAAGCGTTGCTTGTTTTGTACCAACAAGGGGAATAACAACAAAACCTACAGCCAAGTCGTGTCGGGTTTACGTAAATGATTCACAGAATTCTATTCAGGACTTTTGTATGATTGTTCTGCGTGTGAGGGTATTATGTTGTTGCAGTGGCATTGGTTTTGAAGGCCTCTCATTGTGTTTTGTTGTCCTGTTAAACATTCTCATATTTTCCCCATGCAAGCTGCACAGATGAATTCTTACTTGGTATTATTAGCTGCGCTGATGCTGCTGATGTCCCTTACGAGACCCTCAGTCACAGGTAAGACTGTAAGACATGCGTTCAATTTTGTATGTTTTACAAGCATTATAGTATCATTGGCATTTATCCACCGACTTATTATCAACAAAACACTTGGATCAAAGATCGTATAAAAACACCCCGTGAAATTATGTTGTCTGGCTTGTTCTCCGTTCAGAAGAAATCGCGACATGTATACGGATCAGTTAATTGACTGGGGGTTTTTTTTGGGGGGGGGGGGGGGGGGGGGGGGGGGGGGGAGAGAGCTGTTGACAAAATCGTGTTTACTGATCAAAGGGTTGTGCATGCGTTTTCACGGTTTCATCGAAAAGTGTAGGCTAATTCAACTGAGCTGCCAGTCAACCTACGTCAATTTGAATCTTCTTCAGATTTTGAGTGGTGTTCTTGGAAACAAACAAAATGCATGAAAAGTAAATGATGCTTTAGTCTTTGAGAAACCATTTGCAAACATTGAAAAATGAATTTGAAATCATTATATTGAAATATCTTAGTTTATAGTGCAAGTAAGTTGTATTGGATTAATGAAATCATTGCGCCTAGTATGCTGTCATGTTCAAGAAAAGAGGAATTTCCTCACGATGGTTAAGACCAAACCATTCTATATTTTATATTAATTTAATTTATTTGAATTTTCATTAAAATTATTTCAGTTCATTTATTTCTTTTGAATTGTTTACTTTATTCATATTTAGTTTATTTGATTCACTACTATGTGTCAGAAAGCCCGGAAAAAAATTCAAATCAAATTAAGAATTGCGAAGGGGAACCATTTTTTTCAAGTGACGCGTTTTCAATGCACATCAAAGCAGGCCCAGTGCCCAACATTCAATTATGTTGTGGTGCTTTGATACCGTTCTTATAACCAAGTATTTCACAGAACTCACTTTCCTAGTTGTATGTACACCAGACATTTATCCACTTTATGCCGACCTATATTTTTTTACAATTAATATAGAGACATCTGCAGCATCTGTACTCGTCTCACCCAAGGGGGTCTGTGCATCACCGGGAGATTTTTACCAACTGAAATGGATAGCCAAGAACGCAGACCCGGCCGAAACCCTCCAGGTGCACTGCCGACGACTCGATGGGTCGCTGATCGAGCACGAACATGATGAGCGATACACGATTGACGAAAGCAAGTGCTGTGACAATCGCACGCGGAAGTACACGTGCGCCCTGGGGACAACGCTAACGGTACTTCACCTCACTGACCATGAGGATTCTGGGTCATGTGACTGTGACGTGGTGAAGGTTGGAGTGCCGGTAGGCGTGCATGATGAGACACCTGGAGACTCTACAGCCAATGTCTGGGTCAGAAACGACACAGGTTTGTGACCGTCCCCGGTCAGCAGAGCTGCATTCAATTCACAAAAAAAGTCACTATACAGTTCGTCATTAGTAATCACAAGTCGTCACAAGGCATCACAAGTAAACTTTAAGTCAACACAAGTCAACAGGCGTCATCATAAAGCATCATAAGTAATCACAAGTCATCACAAGTCAATCACAAGTCATCACAAGTCATCACTAGTCAACACAAGTCATTACAAGTCATGACAAGTCATGACAAGTCATCACAAGTCAATCACAAGTCAATCACAAGTCATCACAAGTCAACACACGTCATCAAAGTCAACACAAATCATCAAAGTCAACACAAGTCATCACAAGTCATCACAAGTCAATCACAAGTCAATCACAAGTCCATCACAAGTCATTACAAGTCAAGCACAAGTCATCACAAGTCATCACAAGTTAACACAAGTCATTACAAGTCATGACAAGTCATCACAAGTCATCACAAGTTAATAACAAGTCAATCACAAATCACCACAAGTCATCACAAGTCAACACAAGTCATCACAAGTCATCACAAGTCAACACAAGTCATCACAAGTCAACACTTGAATCATCAAAAGTCATCACAAGTCAACACAAGTCATCACAAGTCATCACAATGCATCATATGTCATCAAAGTCAACACAAATCATCAAAGTCAACACAAGTCAACACAAGTCATCATAAGTCATCATCGGTAATCACAAGCCCACACAAGTCATCACAAATCAATCACAAGCCCATCGCAAGTGACACACTCTAAAAACAGTGTGTAAATTTTTGTTGAGTAAAGTTGTTGGGTAAAATAATTGAGTAAATTTTTAAACAATTATTGATTTAAACCCCAAAACATTATTACGCATCGCTTGTGTAATAACAAAATACGGGTTTTTCCCTGCTTCCACGCGGTAATTAAATTATGCTCAATAATGCGTAGCCTGTGAGTCTTTATCCGAAAAGTTGATAAACGCTTTGTTGTGTACTCCGATTTGGACAAAAATTACAATGTATGGTAAACCATGTATAAAATCTATCAAATATATTGCGACACGTTCATTTTTATGCCGTCTTCCATTTATATGGCCTGACTTTTTGATTTGAGATAGAAATGTGATTTACTCAATTGCTGCAATTTTGTATCGGGGACGGTTGGGGTGGGAAGAGAGTAACTGTTTATGTCATGTCGATTTTGAAGAAAAGTAAGTTTACGAGATTATCACAACGAAGTTCCACTTAGGCATATTAAAAAATGCAAAAGGTCAAACCGATGCAACAAATGTATGCAATTGACCCTCTCACATTTTTTTTCAAAGCTCCACTTTAACGGCAGTCAGTCAAAGTAGGTATACCGAATAATAAATTATTATAGTACAAACTAACGACGAATTGTACGAAGATTGTACAAATTGTCATCATGTGGGTATATGTCATGTAGTTTGGAAAATTCTTGGATATTTTTTTCCTTTTTATTTCATCACTATTGCAGTTTTCTCCCTATCGGAGGACGACATCACGATAACTCCAGGCCAGGGCGAGTTGACTGTATCGTTTGAAATCAAATGTGACTTCGATGGTACTTTCGAGGTCATCCGCGAAAACGGAGACGGCACGCCATTGAAGCACATCGGGGATTGGGATAACACCAACCCTCGCCAAGCGCCTTACATCAGGCTGAACTCGGGGCAGATCCCGGTGCTTTGCTTCCCGGCCCCGGGCTGCGGCGACCAGGGGCTTTACCGCGTCACCTACCGGGCTAGTAGATTCTACAAACCGGTCGAGACGACACGGTATCTGCAAGTACGCGGTAAGAAAGTAATGTTCTTAAACAAGTGGAGTTGCGTACGGGAATCAGAAATGATGAGGAAAAATAATGATATCTTCAGGTGTATGGGAGTACTCCTCAATGTACCAGAATTACACAGTAAATAGAGTCTATATTTTGAAATCAATCTGACCTGGAGATTGTCATTCTAGGAATTGCAGGACGATTTTTTTACATGCTACGTTATGCGATGGTTTAAAATACATGCACTTCATTAGTGACACTTGTTCTTCATGCATATAATGACACTATGTTTAAATCAATTTTATTTGCTTCTTCAACCAAGAAAATTAATAAAGAGATTGTAAAAACATATTAAATAATTATTTCATTCTTCATTTAGGCAGACATCATTTTCTCAGTTTGCCTTGATTCCAAAAAAACCTCAACAGGAAGATTTTCACGCAAACTGTAACGAGAGGACTTTGTGTATATTTTATATTGACTTCGCTTTTTTTTCGTTTCTTGGATAAAATAATACAGTCGACGATACATCTTGCCCTGGCCCTGGAGAGATCGTCGACACTCTAGACACTACTCTCAGTTCTGCAGGCACAACTCTCAGTTCTGCAGGCAAGTATCTTCGGATATAATGCACAGAAGGGGTAGCGAGGCATGGCATCTTTAGTTAGAGTTTTGTAATGTTAGACAGCAACCTGTCATATATTTACACCTGTCATAATATAATAGACAGTACCGAACAAGATTCTAATTTCAATATGCCATGTATAAAAACACCGTTTTATGCACTGAAGTCTCATGTCAAAATTTGGCCCAGAATCCGGGTCATTATTATTGGATCTGATACTGTCGTGGTCAAAAGGACCTTTGTCTGGTCAAAATGACCCGCAAAATGATCCAGATAAGTATCATTTCAACCAAGAATAGCGTCATTTTCCCTAAAAAGTATCAGGTCAAAATATGACCGGAATTCCATGTTAAATCTGGCCGGGGTAAAAACACTAAGAGCGTATATTACCTTTACATCTAAAAACTGTTAAAAACATTCTACTTTGGCAGTTGTAACAACTTGTAGACGTGTAAACATTTTGCTATTCTAGGCGAAAGCAACCAGGTCGGACAGCACTGTCCCAAATGTGATGCTGCCAAGTCCGACCAGGTGTACCAGGTGGCAATTGGAGTACTAGGCGGAGTGCTGCTGCTGGTGGTGATAGCGGCGTGTGGATATCTGTTTTACCGGAAGCGTCAACTGACAGCGCGAAAACGGTAAAGAATAATACCCCTTTATATTATAATGAGAATTATAATTGTTTGTTTTAACATTTACTTTATGGACGATTATCAATTCCAATTCCCTATGCGGCATTTTGCAACTGCCTTCATGTAAAAATTGCATGCAGTTTCAATCCTCCAAAATCATCCGTTATTTCTTGAATGTGGTCCTCGGAGGGGTGACCACTGCCTCAATCCTGCAAAATCCTCCGTCCAGCAGTCACGGTTGATGCATTATGTTGAGACAGAGCCAGTGGCATCCTAGAGCAGTGCGGAGGATTTCAAGAATACAACTGTATATCTAGACTGAGCATAAACAACGGTCCGGCCTACTTTGACACAGTGCATCGTCCCAAATCAGCCGCTCATTTTGCATATATAGCCGCAATGATGCAAATCCTCCACTTTACAAAGAGGATCATTTTGGAGGATTTGGGAACGATAGGGTTAATACAAGTTCATTTAATTGTGATCATTTACGTTACTGAGCAGTGATATACGGGGCACGTTATTTTTGTCTGCCAAACTTCATAAGACCGGTTAGCGCTTTTTTGGTCAAGTTCACTTCTCCCAAAATTTGGAACATATCTTGTTCAAGAAAATTTCGACAAAATGTGGGGACATCATTATTGGTATGTTTATTATATTTTAGTGGACTGGAAAATAGGTCCGTCACGGTGCCCCTGAACGATTCGAATTCGGCAGGCGAGACTAGCCAGCCTTGACATGGTGGTTCCGCGGGCTCACTGACCGCCTCGCCCTGCAGGACACCTGAACTGGTCCGGCCGCACAGGACTGACCATTTTACGAGAGGAGACAGTTTTTGGTATAATTACTTAAAACGTTCAACTTACCTGTAGACTTTTGTGTGATTAACAACAACAACTTCGAGTTTCGTGTCCACGCAAATATTATTTGCTAGTCGATAATGCCAATCAATTCTGGGCTTGTGTCAGCAGATTTTGACAATTACCTAGTCATAATACCGGCCTCGAGATGTTTTAAAATATTTTCTCGGACAATCAATGCTTTGATCAACTTGTATAAAACGGAAGTATAGGGTGTGCATGATTTTAGACCATGTCTCAATGGTTCAGGATCCAAAACAGAAGGATTGAAAATATTCGCTAAAAACGTTACTCCGGACATTCGTTGATGATAAAAAAAAACCCATACAAACAAACAAACAGCAGCCCAACAACCCAACAATCGACTGGCCCATGACTTTTTTTTATTGATTGGCTATTGGTGTGCTTTAAATTACATAAGGCCAAGGCCAAGTAAAAGAAAATACCAGTTGATCGTCCCCGCCCGCTCTCTTTTTGAGAATGCATCATTTTCTTTAATTTCAGGCATAAACTTTTGAATAAAGATGTTTCAGAAGGTCAAATGCGTCTAATACCTTTCCTAATGTTCAGTAAGCACTTTCAGATGGTTTTGTGGTCATCAACTAGTGGACAACTATCCAGAACTATCAAAGAAAAGAGCCTCCTTCTTTTTGAGGAACATATCGTATAAGCTAAAACCTACTTTTCAAAAAAAATGTAAATAAAAGGCCCTCATCCGGCCTCTTTTTGAAGAAAAAAAACCCGGACGATCAACTGATTGACTTGGCCTAATGTTCAAACGCAACAAGCATGACTTTATTTTAAGGTCACGATTCTTTTAAGCTGTATATATTTTTTAACCCCAGTATTAATCTTGTCAGCCATGCACATGGTATTCAGTGCGAGAAATTTAGAACACGTGATTTTAAGCCCTATGCAAACCCAACGACAGATGGCGCTATCAACACAGTACGAGGCCTGCACTGCGTCCAAAAATTAAAAAGCTCGTGCTCTTCCAAAAATAGAGTTTTTTGGTTTTCTCCTGACGAATGTTTAATTTGTTTGTTTTGTTTTAACGAAAAAAAATACTTTAGTGCAAATTTGGGCGTTTGCAACCCTTGGCTAAAAAGTAACTTCATTCTGCGCACAAAATTAGCCTGCCCTTCAAGAGCCAATAGTGTAATTCGATTTTTTTTTGTGAAGAAATAATTCAATAATTAGATTACGTCAGTGGATTGTTTTCGTTCCATGTCTCATAAAGTGAATAACTTTTATATTGCTAGGAAAATAGCAATTGAACAAAACAAGGTGAAACGAGGTGAAACTCGCAAATAGCACGATGAATGCAAGACTTTAAGAAGTTGTCTTCGATACTAAGTGCGAACGATATATAGATGCATGGTAGACTATTCCGTTTGAACACACCCATACTTTTAAGTGTAAGCACTATTACGTAGATTATAATCTTCGTGTACATATGTACTGATAATCACTAACAATTAATGCATTATATTTGCTCCAAAGTATACAACTAACTTTGTGCAAGAATCGACAGCGGGATCCGGGGGGGGGGGGGGGCAACAGGGGCCATGCCCCCCCCCAAAAAAAAACACCCCGAACTCTTTTAAGTATCGTCGCAAAAAACTTACACCACCCACAAAACTCAACAAAAGCAATATATATATCTGATTATAATGTAGCTTATGGCAGAGCCTGAAATGGAGAAACAAAGTAGTGTACAACCAAAGTAAAGAAAATATGGGGTGTTTTTTTCCCCGATTCTCAGTCTCTTGTAATTTTTGTATGATATCTTTAATGTCTACGTTCAGATCGTAATTGTGTCACTAGAGACGATAAAAAAAATTAGCGGTGTATATATCAGCTCAAAAGATGTGTAGCCGTATACTGTAAACTCATCTCTTTCAAACAGCTTTTGATTTGTAATGAATTTTATTGTAAGCTTTTTAACTGAACTTAATTTAACTGAATATTAAGTTAAACACCAATTTTTAATAATGTCTTTTGATATAATTATTTCAAATTTTCATTTCTAATTTTATTGTGTCTGGGGATTTATTTTAATGCATATCATAGTACATTATTTTAATGTACCAATTTTCATTATTGTAAAAGCACAGTTTTTTTTATAAAAATTGCGCTTAATAAAATGCATTATTATTATACAAACATTAACATTATGTGATGAAGTTCGAGATGTTTATGTGGAACCTTTTTTTTTGGGGGGGGGGATACAATTTTGTGTTGTACTATAATCATATTGTTATTTTAGGTTTTTGTTACAAGGCAAAGCGATCCCCAAACACAACTTGGGGGAATAAGGCCTTCAGTGATGAAGCTGAAACCTTCAGATAAGATTACAAAAACAAAGTCATAAGATAAACGGATTTTTTTTTAATCCCACGATTTGACCTTGTTGATATGTATGTGGCCTAAAATTTTCGGCAACTTTATTTGAAAAAAATTAAAGTTCTAAAATATTTGAAAACAAAACTTGTGAGCCCCCCCCCCCCCAGCCAAAATCCTGGGTGCGCCACTGAAACGGAAGAGGTCATCTAACAGGTGGCCAGGAGCCGGACCCCCCCCCCCCCCCCCCCCCCGGAGTACGTGTTAAATCATCAGCTGTACAACAAGTACAAGTAGGTCACTTAAATTTCAGTTCATTCGATGTGGTGCCCAAATCTACCGAAGTCACATGATGTCCAATCGTGGCCAATGTTCACTGAAGGTCACAAAAGTAAACGTGATTAATATCTCCAGTTGATTTTCTGGGAATGTTTGAGTCATTGATGATGAAATTTTGCTCTGTGAATAAATTAATCAGCGCCATGTGATGAGCCTGTCAACCAAGAGAGGGCGCTATTTTAGTAACGTTAAGGTGATATTCGCCTCCTAAAAAATAACCAAAAACATGCACACAAAAAGAGACACCCTGACAAAAGATGCTCTTCATGAAGCGATTTTGTCTGCTAAAATTATTCTTTCTTTTCCATTGTCAGTAAAAGAAAATATAAATGTTTATTATAAGGGCACGCGTGTAAAATTAAAAACAACCATGGAGCTATAGGAACATACACGCGAGCATATCGCCGTGACACCAACTACACGTTATAAGTATCACTTCTGCCCCGATTGATTTGCATGGCCGATCTGGCAGGAACTGGGAGAACGGCAAATGGCGACGGGTATTTTTCAACATGTTTTGGTGTTTTAGGTGGAAGAGGTCGTTGGAAATGTCTAGGAAATCGCAAAGGACATGAGTAAGGTATGTACCACATTTTTGTATGAGTATGTAAGTTTAATTTTCGTTAAAATTATGAAAATTTGATGGGTAATTGTGTCGATAAAATAACCGTTGGTTGTACCGTACGCGGTGCATCAACATGCATGCTAGGCTAAATCGGATGCTGTACCCGTACCCACACAGTTCACACGTCACATGTTCATATCATTAAGTGACGTACATTTCATGACAAGTTCAGTTTCAAGTATTATTGTCCTTCTTATTCCTCCCATGCTTCTATATAATCACGGTCACAAACACTTTAGAAAACATGTTAATTTTAAATTAATAAAATGACAAATGATTATGTTGTTGCATTGTAATATACAGCTTTTTTCTGTTCATATTTTGTCTAGAAAATTAGATTTTTTTGCGAGTTCCATCAAATTTTGTTGTATGGTCGATGTCCATGTTTTCAAATCATTGAAATGTTACAGAGTGTGTGAAAAGTAATTTGGTATGTAGGCACTAATATTAGTCAAATGATTTAGATAATTTGCCCTATCTCATATCTGCCTATATAAAAGATAAGTTACAAATTACAATTCATGTACATGTACTGGGGCCTAGTTCTCATATAGGTATATTTTCGGACCAGGTGTGATTGTCGCATCTGGTCACTGACCTTAATTTAACAATGACCTATAGCGGTGGCCATTTTGACTGTGCGTATGCGTGCTGAAGTTCTTCTGGTTGCCATGGCGTTGTAGTTCACCACTTCCGGCCAAAGTACCCGGATGTTTGGATCCAAGAATTGGGTTTTGAGTATGTCGAAGAGAGGTTGAAGGAGAAAAAAAGTAGAAATTTGAGTTGTTGTCAGACAGTCGGTTCAAAGTTTACATCTTCCAGGTGCCAAATTTCATATAACACAACTAAGGCAAAAAAAAAATTACTCGGTCTCTGGTCAGCTCGCGCGTCGATTTTAATCATGCGCGTCAACCTTTTGTTCTTCTTGAAATTAACATGGAAGCTACAACAGGGCCCTCTATTGCCGCACCTCCTCAATTTTTTGTACCAAGGAGCACCAAGGAATGGGAAATTGCACCAAGGCAAATGATAAAGGGCACCAAGGCAAATTATGGAGGACACCAATGTATAATGAGGACACAAAAAAGAAAAATAGTACCCACCTTGTCTGTACAATGCAAGCTTGAAAAAAAAAAAAGCCACCAAAAAAACACATAAAAAAAACAAACGTCGCCGCATCAATTCCGGAACTTTGGTCTGACCAGAGACCGATTTTTTTTTTTGGGCCTAATGGGGAGCTTGTGGTTGTGTGGTTATTCTACAATGTCCTGCGTTAACCAGTGGTTAATACAGGACATTGTGGTTGTACTCGTGTACTGGGTTCGAGTTTGTGGGCGTGTTTCTCATCTCTGACTGCACAAAGTATACACTGCTAAACAAACTGGTGGCAGTTATCAAAATACTGGAAAACCAAATTTTGGAGGAATTGTGTAACATGTGTAAGTTTCAGTGTATGGCAAAACATCTGAAACTGTTACTAAATCAATAAAAAACAGAAGTTCAGTGAAATTTTGAGCAACACAAGCACAGTGGTACGTCCATGTACTTGTACACTGTATGCCATTATATGCACATATCTGCATACACGTATTGATCATAAATGGCAATTAAGTGATAAAAGCATGTTCACGCCCACGCACGCTTGCACAAACACACAGTGTAGGCGTTGGGTTTAATGCATAAAATTACATACACACTATATTTATAATCTTGATCAAGTTTAATATAAAGATGACTGAAGTGGAAAATCCTTACAAAAAAGTTTATCGAATTCAAAATGTTAAATCAAATCTTTGCGATTGCCGGTGCCCAGCATATGGCGTATGTGCTGGGTTATTGTATCTAATTGGCCCCATACTGCATGACGGTATGGTCCAATGGTGATTCCCACCATGTGACATTTAAAAAAAGCCCCAGGCACTCAGCCTGTTTTTCTCTATTATTTCCAACGGTCAGTCGAATCTGGAGTTTGTTCATGAGGCGCACACTTCATGCATGTACAGATGTCCATGTACATGTAAACATGAACACATTGGTGCATGAAATAAAACTGAATGTACCGGTATATCTATATGTACAGTCGAGTCTCGTTAATTCAAACTCGTTCGGACCTAGCCAAATTGTTTGTTATATCAGAATTTTGTATTAAGAGGAACATCAGTCCCATTCATTGTGTACGTAAATGCACAGTCGGGACCAAGGCTTTATGTTTGTTATAACCAGAATTTTGTATTAACAGAGTTTGTACTAATGAGAGTCGACTGTATACACTCAAAGGGTGAAATAAAGACACAGAATCTGCTTGGACAAAATACAATACATGTCATGATGCGCATGCACATTTTCCTAAGGCAATCAGTTGAAAGCTGTCATGTACTGGTACATGCATCCGATGTACATGTAGCATTGCCTTCAATAATTTAGATGTACAATGTATAATGTACACAATGTATGTGTACATCATACATGTATGCATATGTATAGACTAATTCGGCGACAGCCATTTTCTGCGGTTGCACCAGGCCCGCGTGAGTCGTGCTCAAGTAATACGCACGCATTCTGGCCTCCTTTGACCAATAGGCCTATTGTTTCCAAAATGCACGCGTCTTGTCTTTAAGAACACATGCCGCATGAGCGCAAACACAATTCCACAGGTCTCAAAAATGGCTTCTCATTTTGTTCGCCGAATTATTCCATATGGCACCTAATTTTGGTCGTCCAGATACATACATGAAATGGTTGGAAATTGTAAGATCTTAATAAATCAACCTCTTCCTTATTGTCCAGAAATGGAATAAACAGGTGCAATTCATTTTCTATGCGCTTGTACAATTTATGAACAATTATGTATTTGTGGGGGAGAAAAACCATTCAAACAAATTGCATTTCAGATAACATGTACAGACGTGTAGTAGGCCTCAGTCCCTCCCATCATAGCCTACAAGGTACATGTATTATAGATGTACATACATACATAGGAGGCTTTACTGCATGACTCTGCCTGGGTGGAGACTGACAGTGACAGGCAAGAAGCGTGGGCTGTGATTAAGCCTCTCTTCCACCCACTCTCAGTACAAAGAGGATTGTGTTCTATTGTAATAGACTTAAATTTTGTACATCCATACCTTACAGTAATACACTTTCATCATTCATGTTCACAGTTCAGTTTCACAATATGAGGAGGATCAACATACACCGTATGTAGTACTATGTACATGTATGTATTTAAATGACACAGTAGGCTACATGTACATGTGAAAATGTACATGAAAAGCTTGAACAAGTTCATTCATTTGGTTTAATTACTAGTTTTGCAGATTATGCAGAAATGAACCGAAAATGAAAAGTACATTTTATATTGTATATTTGGATGATTGCCTCAAGAATTTCTTAGATTGTCTGTTTCACTGCTGAAAAATTTATATTTCAAAAGGGTGATTCTGGGACAGTGAACTTATTGTCATTTTCCACTGAAGTCATGGCTACTCAGAATTTGAAAGCCAACAGCATGCAAATTGTCATTTGATCCACTAATTTTCTCTTAATTGTTTTTAAAGTAAATTTTAATTTTTAAACCATAAAATAATTGGGGAAAATACCCAGAAAGTCTTATTCCATCTGGGAACTTTCCTCTTGTTTTGTGATTTCTCAGTTGCAAGTCTGAGTCTTTACAAGCACTGCATAAGGTGAAGTAAAACAAAAAACCAAGTTTCTCGTCCCCGCCCGCTTCCTTTTTGGAGGCTTCCTTTTTGAAAAATGTAGTAGAAAAACACCGAAAAAGTCTACAAATTCAGCGGAAAATAAATACCAATACCAATACAACTCTAAATGACACTGTAAATATGTTCAGTTCTCTTGTCCAACTTGTCTTTCATTTTTAAAAGTGTCTTTGAACAGTGGAACACCAACGGTTGCAGGAAATTTTGAAAAGGCGGTCATCTTGAAAAAATAAAAAATAAAAAGCCCCAATTTCCTCCCTTTTTTAAAAAACCCCGGACGAGAAACTTTTTTTTTTTTTACTAGGCCTAATAATAAGGTCATCTTGAAAAAATAAAAAATAAAAAGCCCCAATTTCCTCCCTTTTTTAAAAAACCCCGGACGAGAAACTTTTTTTTTTTTTTACTAGGCCTAATAATAAATATGATGCAAAGTACCCGGTATAAAAATTATATATTTTGTCACCTTCAAAATAAGCATTCCTCAGGTGAACTGCTGGAGTGTACTTGAATATTTTCCTTTTGTGAGGTCATTGAGGTCATTGACCTTGGATAACCTTTCCGGCCCTCACAGTCTCATCCACAAGACAAGAAGAACCTTTGTTTTGACATTTAGTGCCACTCACTGATCAGAATGTTGCAATTTGTCAGCGTGTGGTGGGGTTTTTTTTGGGGGGGGGGAATGATTATTGGTGAAAACACAGTGTCTACATGTACGTGTACGGAAACAGATGAAAGACATGTACTCCAGACTGGATAGCGTTTTACAGTGTACATTTTACATGTACCGGTACCAGTACATGTACATGTGTACATTTATGCATGTATGTGTTTTTGTGAAAACGGTCGTTTACCCTGAAAATGATTGCAAAAAAATACATGTATAATGACTACTTGAAAGTATTTTTTTAGGTATACCGCTTGTATACATACAATGTATGTATTGTTCTGCGTAAGTTCAAAGCTCTCAAATCATGTACATTGTATAGTGGCTGTCTACAAAAATGTGGCATTTAACAATCAAACAAAACCTCCCAACTTATATGAATAAATTACTTTTTGTCATCTTCTCGAGACGGCCGACATTTTTCAAATATTTTACTTGATAAAATTCTAATGGATGTTCAGTGGATGATAAACTACAGTACATGTATTTCGATATTCGATACATTCAGCACTTCAAGAGCTTGGCGCAAACCTTGGCAACTTTTTTGTGCTTTCCAGGTATTAAGCCCGTGC